TTTAACTAATGCTGTAAAATATTGTGTACTGGCAGGTCATGGTACATGCATTGCCTTTGAACTGAAACCTTACTACACATTTCTGAGTGATTGTAAACTGTTTAATAGTATTTTATGTATTCTAGAGAATAGTTTTATGCTTATTATTGCAATTTGGGTGAAGCTTTACAGATCTAGGATAGGTGGGGTTAATCTAGGCCAGAGATGCCCAAACTTGGACCCGCAGGCCAAAGTTGGCCCATGATAACCTCTGATTTGGCCCACCGTCACATCTGAGAAGGGAGGGAGTTTGATAGGGATGGTTTAAACAGTGTCGGTTCAAATGTAACCCTTTGTTTGTTTTATTGTTAGAAGCTAAATTAAATTAAATGTTTCAATTAAAGGATGTAAATTAATCAGATTTTGATTAAATGTAAATAGTTTCACTCGACAATGCAGAGACGTGAGCAAATCAAGTCAAAGGTAGATTCTGCTTGACTAGTTTATTCAGCATTGAACTCCACTGTTATTGATTATGTTTTTATTGCTATAAGTAATCATTTAAAAAGTTATGCTGCATTAGATAAAACTATTTAAAGTAATGTTTTCTGTTACTTTGGAAATGTTATCAAATAAATTAAGAAATTACCCATTGCAACCTTAATGTAATATCGTTTAGTATATTTACATTCAGCCCACAGCTCATAATGACATTTGGTGTTTGGCCCTTTATATGAAAAAGTAAAGAAAAGAAAAGAGTACCCCTGATCTAGGGGCTCATTCACACATAATTTCCTTTCCCATACCATTGTGCTACTTTCTCATTGTTTTACAATGTAAACATGCACTTGACTGACGTGCATCTCTCATACTTTGAAGTGCAGAGTAAATGAGTGTTGTGTTTTATAGACACTGTGTCTATAATTCATGCAGCATTGATCATCAGTGTCAGTTCCAAAGTAGTAGACCAATCAGAAAAACTCTGAGGGGGAGCAAGTATTTTAAAGTTTTGTTTACAGGCTTGACAGACTTGTGCTCTATGTTTTGCTTTTTTAAACACATTCCTGAGTACTGAGTCTCATGCTTTTAGATGCTGAGACATGTTCTGTGTAAATGAGCCTTAAGACAACAGTGAAACCTACAGATGAGTTCCTTCCCTTTGTAACCTAACTTCTAGCATAATTCAACACTTATTTCTTTTAGATTTGATTTGATGTGCTCATGTAAACAGCTTCAGGCACTGCAATGCTGACTTGGTTGAGTTTGTTTGGATGTGGAACAAAGAACTCAATATATAATCAAAAAGGTCAAAAGGTCTCAAGATTGCAAAACTTTCGAAGCCTTTCCAACACTGAACACAACCCTTTGTCTTCTTCCTTCTTTGACCATCGTTCCTCCTTGCACGTCCTGATTTTGCAGTCAACATCAGTCCTGTTAAAAACATCAATCCTAATCCATATACTGTACATCTAAATCTAACTTTACCTATAAGTTATACTTAAAACTATCTGTGCAGATAGCCCTATGGGCAATGTGCCAACATATAGCGCAAATTGCACTTCAGGCATCCTGAGTTCAAGTCTCAGCTCAATGACCTCTCCCAATCCATTCTTTCTTCAACAACAAAAAAAAAGTAAAAAAAAAAAAAATGCCCCCAAAAATGATTCCTAATATCACAGGGAAATTATGTGTTTACATTGACAATGCTATTCTCATACTTTTATGATGATGACAGTTGAAATGTGAATGGAGACACTGACAACGAATCCATTTGCTGGATTTATTCAGAAGTCATGGTCTGGCAAGCTAAGGTCAACACAGGAGCTAACAGATATATACAGGCAATCCAGAGTCGTAGTCAAATATCAGGCAAGTGGTCGGAAGGCAAGTAGCAGACAATGTAAAAAACAATTAAAACAAAGCAAGGTTCAAACACGGAAGGCGAGGCAAGGAAAATGCGTCGTAATGTTCAAAATCAGTATAACAAGACTCAGCCAAGAGGTGTGCATTGTGCTGTGTATGTAATCAGTTCATGAGCAGCTCCCAGCCATGAGTGTGTGAAATCTACTGAATAAGAAACAGGTGCATGTGAGCGGTGCATGACTGGAACTTGTGGTTGTTTTGCTGGCAGATTTGTAGTTCTCCAGCGATCTGCATGGGCTAGATCGCTGGTGACTGGTGACTGAGAAGTATTGTTATTATAATCTATCATGTAAGCTAAACTTTTTTTATTATCATAATTCAGCAGATTTCACACTGGAAATTTAAAGAAAATTGAATTAAAATGTGTATTATTTCTGTTTAAGTTGCATTACCGAAGTGCAGCATAGCCATGTACACTCAATAATCACACTATCACCATCATGTAGAACTTTTTAGCACATTTTAAACCAGGATTACAAAGATGTATTGAAATCCCTGTCATGCTTGCCATTGTTACAGGACAGAGGGCAGATTTTTCATCACAAAACTAAAACTAAAATTCGATATGAGAGGGGCTTAATAAGGATAGACTATGACCCAATCAGACATTAGATGTGTGCAGACTCTGCCCTCATTTTCAAAAGTTGTAAACTCAGAATTTATAAACTAAACAAACTCCAAATTAAGCTCTTTCAAATGTCTCTGTTTTTGTCGGCGCAATAGCCTAGTGGTTAGCGCGCCGACATATGGTGCAATAGCACGTCCCCTATCTCTCTCCTACTTTGCTTCCTGTCTCAATACTGTCCCATCTAATAAAGGCAAAAAGGCCAAAAACAAATCTAAAAAATAAAAAATGTCTCTGTTTTCAAGTGAAAAAAGTATCCTGAACAGTGTGAATGCCATGCGTAATCACATCAACATCAATGTGTTTTAACATATACAAGCACTAGTCTAAACATAGAAACAGTGTGTGTGTGTGTGTGTGTGTGTGTGTGTGTGTGTGTGTGTGTGTGTGTGTGTGTGTGTGTGTGTGTGTGTGTGTGTGTGTGTGTGTGTGTGTGTGTGTGTGTGTGTGTGTGTGTGTGTTAGGGCAGAGAGGCACAGTACAGGCTAAGCGATGAGGATGTCAGTCAAACAAGATTAAAAAAATTATGTTATTCTGTAAATGTATTTGTGTAGCAAAGCACTTCTTATAGTCAACACTGTAGAGCAGCAAAAAAGATTAATCTAAATAAAGAGCTGGACATGTCTGATGAGTCATTATAAACGTGAAAAAGAACTGAACTCTGAGTAGTGAGTAGTGACCGCAGAGAAAACTTCTCTCAGCCCAGATAGTGTGCTCAGAGCTGAAGTGAGATTGTCGTAACTGCTGTTATACTGTATACACACTTGTATGTGAAAATGCTCATCTAGGTTTAGTCAAAAACAGTATCTTTAAAAAATGTATGTTTGGTAGAGTTCATCAGTGCAGGAGGTCTTAGAGAGAAAGACTATCAAGACTACCATAATCAATCAAATTATTAAGGAGCACACACACACACACAAAAAAAAATGGATGGATGGATGGATGGATGGATGGATGGATGGATGGATGGATGGATGGATAGATAGATAGATAGATAGATAGATAGATAGATAGATAGATAGATAGATAGATAGATAGATAGATAGATAGATAGATAGATAGATAGATAGATAGATAGATAGATAGATAGATAGATAGATAGATAGATAGATGATAGAAGTTGTTAAAAAGTTAAAAGTTTTTAGAAGTATTAAGATTTATAGCTAGTAAAAAATGAATCGAGTCTTCCTTGCTGGTGGCAAAGCACAAACCCATACAGTGGCTTCAGTACCAAGAACCAAATCATAACATTGGTGAATAATTACACGCCCAATAAATACACACAGCAGTAGTCAACACTTTGATGGCTAGCAAAACAGCTGCTTTGAGCAAGAATTTGCAGTCATCTGTTTGCACACATACAGTAGCTTGACAAATAATTGACTGCACCAGAAGCTTTCATTAAATCAAATATAAAACACAAAACTTTATACATGAGTGACCATGGATCACAAAACCATTGAGGGTCCATTATTTTTAAATTAAGATTTTTTTTAACATCTGAAAGCTGAATAAATGCGCTTTCTGTTGATGCATTATTTTATACAATATTTTGAACAAAATACAACAATTAAAAAATATACAATCCAAGGATGCAAAAAAATCTAAATTTAAAAAATATATATACAGGGTTCCCACACTGCTTGAAAGTACTTATAAGTACTTGAATTTCAGACATATGGATTGAAGGAGTGGAAAATACTTAAAAACAAACACAGGTCCTTGAAAGTGCTTAAAAATTGAAATAAGATTTGTTTATGGTTTTATTTCAACAAATGTACCTTGCAATTATAAGGATCTTTCTGCGTTCTGAAAGTTTTTGCATTCCATAGCAAACAGTATGTGTGTTTTTTAAATAAAAACTCTTAAAATGTTAACAACTTATAAAAAATCACATAATGTAAATAAATTGTCATTTAATAAGAATATGTCAATAACCTAATTTTGACAAAAAATGTCAGATAGAACCTTATAATTCTAAGGTGACAAATTGTCAAAACGGAACATAACTGACAATAACTGACAAAGTCTTAAATTAAAAATCCTAAATTTAAATCTTGTTCAATAAAATTGACAAATACTGCACAATTTATTAATAATTTTGGAAACTGCATTTAAATATTACCAGTATTGAATTTGACATCGAATTGACATTATTAATGTAATTACAGTGAAGTACAGTGAAGACTTTCATGGCGCTACATACTGAATGCTGGGATATCCTTACAAAGATGCTTTATTTAAAACTGATGGTGCTTTAAAAAGAATCCGCTGTTCATGAAAGTGTGCGAACCCTGTATATATTAATCACCTTAAAAGTGTCTAAATTAAGTCCTTTAACCACATTACTTTTAAGTTGATGTATTTTTGATGTATTTACAGTACATTTTCTGAATATCTTCATGGAACATGATCTTTATTTAATATCCTAATGATTTTTGGACAGGGTTACATATGGTACCATAATGAAGACAAGCTTTTCATTCATGTAAAAATACATGCGAGGGACAATGATGTGTGCCAATCAATCTATAACATAAATCTGTAAAATATGTTAAAACAGATAAATCATGATCACGTAAGGCAAAAGCATCTGAAGTGAACACTTTAATCATAATATTATCTTATTCAGAGTAAACTAAATATTGGATTACTGATATCCATTTGAACGTCACCAATGAGAAGCATCTAACCCAGACTAAATATAAATCTAAAATGAACATAAACTGTGAACTACTTCTTCAAGTCATAATAGGGTTCTGCATTTGAGTGTGAACGACGATGATGTTGTGCTCTCAGTTCCTCAAGGTTATGCAGCTCAACATGTCTCAGCTTTGGCTTGACTCTGTTGACTTTGTAAAGCGAGTTGCCCTTGGATCTACGGCAGGTTAAACATTAACCTGTCTGCATTTGTTCAGTCCCACCTGCATCTGTTACGCTGCGTCTGATAGTAGGAATATCCGTATGGGGCATATATTTACAACAAAAATCATGTGTTTGTGGTCTGCCGTCTCTTAACTCGAGGTAAGAGATTAGAATGATTGTGCGCATTTACCAAGAATAAGGGCTGTTTTTATTTTAAGGCCTTCGGGTGTAGTCTAAGAAGTATGCTTTAAATATGTTGCGTTTCTTAGATAACTAATATTTAAGCCCTAATGGCTACACAGACCATTGATTAAATGTCGTTGTATTGGTTCAGAGAGTTTGATTTAGAGTGAGGAAGTGTTGTGGTTTAAGTGTGCATGGAGAACGAGCCTTTTAATGCCGTTCAGCATACGTTGAGGATTTCTCAGTTTGTCACGTTCTATTTATACAGTACTATAGCTCTTTAGATGTGCAGTAGATTGTAGACACGTCATTTGCTGAGTTGATACAATCAGGCTAAAGTGTAAGTAAGCTTGCATGAGAGAGTTTACACGAGAAAGTGTTTAGAATGGTTTAAAAAGCATCAATAAACATTGATTGGGGGATTATCTAAAATAATCAAAGCTGGAATGCAGTGGTTTCCAACCTAGGGTCTCTTATGGGGATGCTACACTCAAAAAGTTTTTTTGCTGCTTAATAAACTATAAACTTTAAACTACTTATTTATAATGAGCTGAATCAACTCAATTTGTGAGGGGTTGTTGTCAATAACTTAATTGTTTTATGTTCAATCAACTTCAATTTGTGAAAACAATTAATTTAACTTAACTATGAGTTTTACATGCTGGAATTTAGTAACATTTAAAGCAATATTTTTTGCTGGACTAGCTTGTCGGGTGGTCATCATAGTCACACATTTTAATGTACTAAAACATTTCCTAATGATTTTGAATAAAGAAATATTTAATAATATATATTTATACATATCAATTTTGGAATACAAATGTATCGCATCACATATCATTAAGGAAAAAAAGAATCTGTTAAAAAGAAACTGGTCTGCACATTTAACTTTCCTGTGAGAATTTGGCCACTTGAATAATAAAAAATGTAAACACAATAATAAAAATAATAATAATAATATAGAATTCCGGATTTTTCTAGCCTCTCTTTTAAAAATTCATGGATAACAACAATGGCCTAATTAGTATTAAAGTTTAATTTTATTAGCTTCAAAATTAACTTTTGGTGCTTCACATCTTCTCATTCATTCATTTTCTTTTCGCTTTAGTCTCTTTATTAATCTGGGGTCGCCACAGTGGAATGAACCGCCAACTTATCCAGCATATGTTTAATGCAGCGGATGCCCCTACAGCTGCAACCCATCACTGGGAGACATCCATACACACTCATTCACACACATACACTTCGGACAATTTAGCTTACCCATTTCACCTATACCACATGTTTTTCGACTTGTGGGGGAAACCGGAGCACCCGGAGGAAACCCACGGTAACACAAAAATGCCAACACAAAAATGGCATTTTTGCCACACAAAAATGCCAACTAACCCAGCCAGAGCTCGAACCAAGGACCTTCTTGCTGTGAGGCGATTGTGCTACTCACTGTGCCATCGTACTGCCTATAAGAATTACAAGAAACACTTAAATAAATAGATATTGGATTGATAAATAAAAGAAAAGACAGCATTGATTGATTGATTGATTGAATGATTGATTGATTGATTGATTGATTGATTGATTGTTTGTTTGTTTGTTTGTTTGTTTGTTTGATTGATTGATTGATTGATTGATTGATTGATTGATTGTTTGTTTGTTTGTTTGTTTGTTTGATTGATTGATTGATTGATTGATTGATTGATTGATTGATTGATTGATTGATTGATTGATTGATTGATTGATTGATTGATTGATTGATTGATTGATTGATTGATTGATTGATTGATTGATTGATTGATTGATTGATTCATTCATTGATTGATTCATTCATTCATTCATTCATTCATTCATTCATTCATTCACAGATGTAAACTCAGCACAAAATCTTAGAGAGACTGACATCTAAATATTTTAGTTTGTTATCATCTAAATACAACTTCTATCTAACCTCTAACCTCAATGTATCTTAACTTACCTCAATGTGTTTCTCTTCCAGTCGGCAGAGTTCTTCGACATGCTGGAAAGGATGCAGGTAAGGCTTGGTCTATCAATATGGTTATCTCATAAACGCAGGACTTTCATTAGAACAAGATTCGTCTAATAACAATAATCCTCCAGTAACTTTGTACTTTAGCTGAAAAGCATTTTACTGAGTAATATTATATTACTCAAGGGCAAAAAAAAAAAGCATGTCATGATTTTTATATTATTACTAATAATATAAAAATCATGACCTGCTTTTTTTTGCCCTTGAGTGCTACCTAAGTGTACTGACTCTCCAGTTACTCTGAATGAGTAATTACACATTTCAGCTCACTTCAGCACTCATTGATTTAGCCAGCACTTTTCTCTGTGGTGGGTCTTTGCTTTGAATAGGACACACTGACCTGCTATAAAACAGAAGCGTGATTGTGTTGTTTTCATTGTGTATGCATGCATGTGGCGGTGGGTGTGTTTGTGTGTGTGATGGGTAGCAGGTTGCTCTGGATCAGCTGATCAATACTATGTTAAGGCAGGAGTGTGTTTTTTTTCAAACGTCTGGTATTAAACTTCATGTCCAGATCTCTGTATGAGCAACAGATCGATGAGAAGGCTCATGTCTCGCTCGCATGGATCATGTGCACTTGTGATGGTCTTAATCAGAGCTGAACGAGTTTAGATGTGCATGTGCACTATCCAGGGAAAATAATATTATGTTATTTCTTAGTTTAACTGCATTCGTTCATAAATTGCCTAAGAAAACAGTTTAATTCAAGTTTATTTCAAATACATATTTATTATTATTATTATTATTATTGTTGTTGTTGATTTTATTGTTGTTGTTGTTGTTGTTGTTGTTGTTGTTGTTGTTGTTGTTGTTGTTGTTGTTGTTGTTGTTTAATAGAGCATGCTAATTTGAATTTAATTCCAAATATTTATTATTATTATTATTATTATTATTATTATTTTAAATAGAGCATGCTAATTTTTATTTAATTTTTATTTTATTCCAAATATTTATTATTATTATTATTATTATCATTAATAACATTAATTAATAGAGTAGGCAAATTTCACTTAATTCAAATTTTATATTGTAATTTTTTAATTGTTATTATATTATATTATATTATATTATATTATATTATATTATATTATATTATATTATATTATATTATATTATATTTTATATAGTTTATATTTTGAGATTTTACTGTATTTATTTAGGGGGGGGGGGGGGTACATCATCAGCAATATTTATCATAACAACTATTTCCTAGTTTTGATTATTATTGCTACAATAAGTTAAAAAACCTACTGTCATTACTCCGTGTAAAGATTTTTTTTTCTTTCTTCTATAACAATGTCACACAGGACAGTACTTTTATTTAACAGCTAAACTAATAACATTGAAAATGGTCTATTATACAGCAATATTGTTGTTAAATATCATCCACAGTTTGTTTAACGTGTGACCCTGTTAAAGGAAACTGTATCATCTGTGACCCAGTGTTCAGACATACTGATTTACAACAGAGGGAACTAAGAATGGAAACGAGACACAGATTTATCCTCATTACACCTAAGAGCTGAACATTTAACTGTACATGTTTCCAGCTGAACAAAACGTTCTGTCTTTATTAAGCAACAGCTGTTTTCTGGACTTGTTGAGACGGTTAACCATGGTGACCACAGTTCCTGATTAAATAACCTGATATAAGCCACCATAGTCATTAAAAAATTAATTACAACAGTTTAAAATGGAAAAAGGACTAAATGTTTCTGAAGACTTTGACTGTAAACAGACCTGCATTATTTGAGGAGCTGGTTTTTCTTCTCAGTGTCCATCGTGGTTACGGGTTTGTCATTTATTTTCTTCCTCTCTTCACTTTCTTCTGCTTTCCTGGACACGTCAGATTCCTAAAACAGAGGAGACTAAGAAATACAAGGTTTGGCTGGTCTTCGGAATGTGTATATTGTGTCTGTAAGTGATGGGGGTATGCGATGTTATCATCTCGATAAAATGGGCTTGTTAATCATGAATACCATGCAGTTAAAGATATTTCAGTCTTTGTATTGTTACCTTGGCTAGTTTAAAGGCTCATATATTCTTTTTAAAAAAGGTAACACTTTAATTAAGGGACCAATTCTCCTGGCTAGTGAGATCCCAATACATTATGTTAGCTGACCAATCAGAGCCTCTTGAGGGCGGGCTTTTTGGAGGAACTAAGAAATATGACAGTCGTTTTCATGTTAGCTGAGTAGCTATATATATTCAAAGTAAGATTTATGAAAAAAATTACTTGATTTTCTATAAAAATGAATCATGAGCACACATTGCTTTGCATCTTATAAACACAACCAAGCCTTAAAAATACATTGTAGATCACCCCTTCAACATACTGGCTTTTTTCAATGATTTTTATTTCTTTTCATCAATAATTTAACAGTACCATCAGTTCACACATTTTAACAGCCTTTCAACATCCCCTTTCCCCTCTCCTCCCCTCCACAACAGTGGCAGTTACAGTAATTAGTAGGTGCTATCATAAATTCAATAAACACAGATGAATAATATAAACTCAATAAATAAAAAAGCACACATACAAAAAATAATAATAGTGAAAAACAATAATAATAGCGAAAAAATAAATAAAATTAGATAAATTACATTTTTTACTGTGCTTCTCACCACAGTGACCTTATTCATCCTCCAAAAATGCCAAATATCTTTCCCTTCTTCTCTGATAAACATCCAATTTATCAAGTCAGACCTGTAGCCAGGGGGGGTTGGGTGGTTCGAAAGACCCCCACCCCCCAACTAACAATGGCTATATTTTGGCCCCTATATGATCTATTTTGAGACATTTTTAACAGTATGCCATCATAAACTGAAACAAAATAGCCAATAGAAGAAGGCTTTAAGACTAATTTAATTATTAATTATTATTTAAATGGCAAATTCTGACTGAGGAATTAGCTGGGCAGTTTGTTATTTGTCTATAGGCCACAGTTTTTAAAGTTTTAACAGATTGCTATATTTTGTTTTTAATGATGGATGATAATACATTAGCAAGTATTTTTTTCATATTTCTTTGTTAAAAATTCACTTAAAATTGTAATCTCATTGTGTTATTTATAAAACTGCAATAATGTAATACACATTTGCAAATAAATAATTTTTTTTGTAAACTAAATAGTATAGTAAGCGCTTTGACAAAAATGTAGAAAGAATTTTTGTTGCATAAAAAAGTGTGGCAATGATAACCATCCGACAAGCTAATCCAGCAAAAATGAGTGCTTAAAATTTCACTAAAATGCAGTATTTGAACTTCATAATTTAATAGGAAATGAGGCGAATAACTGCGAAAAGGTCCACTTTTTGAGAAAAAAGACCCACCCCTTTTAATAGGCTAGCTAAGGGCCTGCAAGTAATCTAGATGTAATTTTTTCATTTGCTGCCACCTTCACCAATTCTGTAACCCATTCTTGAAATGATGGTGGACCTGCTGAACGCCATCTCCTCATAATGATTTGTCTTCCAATCATAATACTTACTTTAAATCCACTCAGACATCTTCACAGAAGACCCCAACATGAACAGATCTCCCAATATATATATTCCAGGACAAAACATTCTGGCTTTTTATTGGTACTTTTAAAGTACATAATGTGTATGATTTTAATTAATAGCTTAAGGTTTGTTTCACTCAAAAATTAATTCAGTGTCATTAATTATTCACTCTTGTGTCATTGCATATTTTCGTTCATCTTTGAAACACAAATTATGCTATTTTAGATGAAATCCGAGAGTTCTGTCATCCTCCATCAGCAGTCCCAGGACGTTCAAAGTCTAGAAAAGGAACCAAAAACATTGTCAAAACATTTGCTCCAATCAGATTGTTTTATGCAAATACTAGTGCAGATGCTAGCAAAAGCAGAGAATAGCAGTCTATCTAAATGATGTTCATTCATCAAAAGCTTATTTTCACAGTTGGTAATCAGTAGGGCTAGACAGAATCTGCAGACTTTTTTTGCTATTTCTGCGCAGAATACTGTAAAAAAATCTGCGGATTTATGCATAATAATTTTGGGTGTATCTTAACAAAAACGTAATATGTAAAAAAAAATCCACCTATTTGATAAACAAAGCAAGTCTCTCATATAACATATCTACCATATATCTGTATTGTAAGTAAATCAAATGAACGTTATAATATTAGTATTACTGAAATAATAATAAAAAAACTGAATAAAAATAAATGTACACACAACTAAATAAATAGATTCAACGATGGGCTGAATATATGCAGATTTCTGCACGTGCAGATTCCGTGTGGACCTAGTAATCATCCAGTGATTTATGATCAATCTTTATATAAACTTTTTATACTGCTGGGCCTTTTTGTGTTCTGATTCAAGCTGGATGTGATTGGCTGTCGTCACTATGACAATTGCGTTATTGTGAGCTTTATTCACACTTTCCATCAAGCGTTGACTGTTGACTGTGCACACGCTGATTTTTTATTACACTCTTATTTACAACATAGGCTCATTCTGAAAACCTAGCCCTATATACACTTCTGGAGAATGCGAATTATGTAGCCAGAAATACGTGTGGCTGCATTTCGTCTTTAAAATGAACGCTACGGGGCAGTAGAACGCCGTTCCTTTTCTCGCTTACCAGCTGACTGCTTACCTGTTGTAAATGAGGGCGATGCCAATCCTCTTATGCACCACCAGAGGGAGCCATCGCCCGAATTCTAATCCGACTCACAGACTCAAATTCCCATAAGCCCTGTTACCTGGCACTGATTGCGGTCCAGGTGCCTCTCATCAGCCCAGCGTTTATATACCACACTCACGCTCTGGTTCTTTGCGAAGTCTTGATTTGCCCTGCTATCATTTCTGAGCGTTCTATATTCACATTCCGGACTGATCTGTGCTTCTGACCCCTTTGCTCGACTCTACGATTAAGAAAGACATCTGCCTGCCCCTGATCTCCAGCCTGTTGTTCTGACTAAGTAAGATATCTGCCTGCCTTTGAACTTTTGCCTGTCCCTCGTTTTGACTCCTGGATTGCCCTGTGTTATTGTTTGTATGTGTGCTTTTAATAAAGCTTGCAAATGAATTCAATGCCTTCTGACTCATCACAACATTACCTCTATATGCACGGCTTTTTCACTGTTACCAGTTTGTCCGGTAGCTCGACACATTTGTCGGCGGTCAGTGAGTCAATCGACAGCGACCTCTGGTGGATTTACGTGAGAATAGCACTCGCGAGAGAAGTTTGAGATCTGAAAAGGTGTACACAGCGGCCTCTGGTGGATTCGCGAAAACAAAAACTGCAAAAAAAGTACCTCCTGGGATGTATTTTACGCTCTCCAGACATGTATATAGGGGTAAGTAATCAGAATGAGCCTGGGTTGCTAATTTATGTGACATTGCTTAACTGTATGATATGAATAAATAAAACAAAAACCCATACAACTTCATAGTTGAATTGGGTCATTCTAACTGCATTTGAATGTTTTTATTAGTTTTTTACTAAATGAGTAACATACTCAATGTCAGTTGACATTGTTAAAACAACAATTACCATATTATCGTAGACGATAAACATCGCAGCCCCTATAGTAAGTGCATGTGTGTGAGTGGAAGAGTTGTGTATGTTTAGTAACTTCTTCTTCACAGTTCTTTCTTCTCCTTCATAAAATCATTCTAATAAATTTCAGCTGTTCTGGAGTTTTACAACATCAGTCAACTCTGAAGTATTTATTTTACAATGAGTGATGTAAAGGTCAGTGTTGATGGCCTCTAGATGTTACCAAAGAGTCCAAATGGAAATCCATATACACGTTATTTGAGTATAAAGGAATATGGGCAGAGGATACATAATCAGATGCTCTTTGTTGCATGTGCTGTTTATTTAGTTTTATTTGATCAGTCATATATTGTGTTGCAGATCTTATTCCTCTCTCCTGCTCCTAGGATGTTTTCATCCCAGTAAACAGACTGTGATATATGCGGTTTGCTCTGCAGTATTATCCGATGATCAGATTTCTTGTTCTCTCCTACAGGATGACTATATCCCGTACCCCCGGATTGAGGATGTGAGTCTAAGCGCACACACATGGAAACACACAACAGTTTAAATTAAACATCAAAAATCAAGCCTAGCTCTTTGCAGTGTATATTATTATGTTCTTGTATTAGCGATTTAGCACAAGAGAGTTTCCATCATGCTCAAGTGTTTTAGGACTAAAAGGAACAGATTGTCTCCGTTTATTATCCAGCTCTCTGGAATACTTGATTCTGATTGGTCAATCACTGTGTTTGTATAATGATTGCTTTCCCTGGCAACAAATCTGATATTGTGCTCTTTATTTTTTCATATTTCAGAATTGACTTTAATTAATAGCATAGCTTTTGTTCTATCTATCTATCTATCTATGTATCTATCTATCTATCTATCTATCTATCTATCTATCTATCTATCTATCTATCTATCTATCTATCTATCTATCTATCTATCTATCTATCTGTCTATCTGTCTATCTGTCTGTCTGTCTGTCTGTCTGTCTGTCTGTCTGTCTGTCTGTCTGTCTGTCTGTCTGTCTCTGTCTGTCTGTCTGTCTGCCTGCCTGCCTGCCTGTCTTTCTGTCTGTCTGTCTGTCTGTCTGCAATACATCTATTTTAAAATACTTCCAATAATTCTATAATGTATCTTATTAAAATGCATTTAATTTATTTGAATATAATTAATGTATTTGTACAAAATTCCTTTAATTAACACCTTTAATAAATAAACAAATATAATGTTACATAACATCATTGTCATTTGTTACACATACACATATATGTCATTGCTAACAAGACTAATTTAATCTACTAAAGAATATTATTTTCATATTAAACAAAAATGTTTGATAAATGTTTAAAAAAAAATTTTAATGATATTAAATGTTTCTTCAGCCCCAAATCAGCATATTAAATTGATTATTATAATTAATAATTATCATAACTTGATTTGAAGGATTCCGTGACATTGAAGCTTACATACCATTTTAAATGTAAAATATATTGAAAATAATAAAATTTAATAACAAAATAATAAAATATTTTTTAATATAAAATAGCAAAATATTTTTCATTTTATATTGAGCATGAGAAGGTAAAAGAACAGTTATGCATGTATTTTTATAATGTTAGATCTATATAATCCTATATAAGTTGCTGATCTGTAAGGTTTGAGCATGTTTTAATGATTGAAGATGTTACAGTTTTTGTCCACTGGTTTGACTCTTTTGCTGAAACAGAAATTACATTCTCAAAATTTTAAGATCATTTGGCAAAACAGGGTTACAGTTTAGCACAACACTGTAGCTCATTTGCAAAAGCTCATACCTTTCCCTAAACAGTTCACTCATGTGTCAAAACTAAATTTCCTTCTCATTTAAACAGTCAGTGCCCCCAAAATGCTTCGTCCCTTTAGCATTGTGTAAGCACTGCAAGTCAAATGGTTTAGATGTTTTGTCATTATGGCAAAGGACCACTAAAATATCCCTCATGTCCACCTTACAGTCTTAGCCCAGTCCTTCATTGACAATGGTTACTGTACTGTTTTTGTCCAGCTAACAGAATACAATTGTGTATAAAACTGAACAAAAGAAATAGGATTTATGGTAAGAGTAGCCTCCAAGGTTTGAAGTTACACTCTGCACTCATACTGCCAAGGAAATGGTAACTCCTTTTTTTATTGTAATGATCAACGACACACAAAGTAACTTGAGTAATATATCAGAGCAAAAAGAATAAATAACTGTAATAAATAGTAATCAAATGTTCCAAGGATTCACCTACTGTATGGTATTCATGGTGTTATGGTCTTGACTAATTTTGACAATTGAACAGACTATTGTGCATGTAATAACATACAGTATACAATGAAATGACGCTGACACATTTTGGTGAAAACAACTATTAGACTGAGAAGTTTAGATCAGCAAGATATATTCACTTGGAAATTTTGCTAAATGTAGGCTATCTTGATCATTTGCAAAGATGTACGTATACATTTGCAATTTGATGGAATTAATGAGAATTTCAAATCTGTTGTGAACAATTGCCAAGTGGTTTGGCGGTTTGTCCATATTGTTTTGAGAATGTAATTTCTGTTTTAAGAAATGAGCAAAAACCAATGGAGAACAACTGTAAATAGTGTTATTGAGTTGCTGATGCTTTAATTCATCATATTCACTGTCTAGGTGCTGGAGAAGGGTGGTCCATACCCTCAAGTTATTTTACCTCAGTTTGGGGGGTACTGGATTGAGGACCCAGAGGCTCCAGTTGGGACGCCTACATCCTCAGACAGCAGCTTCTGTGAGGAGGAGAATGATGATCTGAGTCCCAGTGGAGGAGGAGGTGGAGGAGGATTCGGATACAGGATGGAGTGTAACAGCACGTCACGAGCCTATCGCAAACACTTTCTTGGAAAGGTGAGGTTGCATTTGTTAGTGCTTAAAGTAGATTCATCTTCTATGATTTAAAGGAACTGTTCACTGAAAATTGAAAATTGTGTTTGTCAGTTACGCCCCCTTCAGTTATTTTAAAGCAGTTTGACTTTCTTCTGTTCAAGAAAAATGAAGTTATTTTGAAGAAAGCTGGAATACTGTAAATATTACCTTTCATTGTATTTGTTTTTCCTACTGTGGAAGTCAGTGGATACAGGGTTTCCAGCTTACTTCAAAAATATCTTCTTTTGTGTTGAAGCTCATAATAAATAGTAAGTAAATGTTCTAATCCAATCCTTCAAATGCTCTATATTACAAATTCATTTTACTTTTACTTGATAATAAATCAAGAAAACAATTTTGACATTCACTGTTTAAATGCTTATTTTTCAACAACACACTTGAATATTAATAAAAAAAAAACAAAAAAATAAAAATAAATAAATAACATGCATAGATAAATCATGTATTTACCTATTATTATTATTATTATTATTATTATTATTATTATTAATAATAATAATAATTTTATTATTGATGTAATTAATACTACTATTACTACTAACAACTGCCCTATGTGCAATTTTTGAGTTTGTTTACTATTATTATTATTATTATTATTATTATTATTATTAATTATTATTATTATTTTATTATTGATGTAATTACTACTACTATTACTACTAACAACTGCCCTATGTGCAATTTTTGAGTTTGTTTACTATTATTATTATTATTATTTTTATTATTATTATTAATTATTATTATTATTTTATTATTGATGTAATTACTACTACTATTACTACTAACAACTGCCCTATGTGCAATTTTTGAGTTTTATTACTATTATTATTATTAATACTATTACTATTATGTTGTTAATTGTATTATTATTATTATTACTACTACTACTACTACAAACAACTGCTTTATGTGCAATTTTAATGCTTGTTTACACATAAATAATAATGTGGGCTACACCAGGATTTATTGTATAGTTTACAGCATTAGAAGTGAGATTATTTTTTCATAAAAACAAAACTGTTTTCATGCAGTATTCCTGTATCTCTTTGTCTACATATCGCTGAGAATAGCTTTGTAATAAACTTGTTTGTATTTTGTAAATTTGTAAAATTCAACTTAACAAAAAGTCACCATCTGAGGTAATATTTCATGTATCCACAGCTTATCTCTCTATAACACTGAATATAAGGTGTTATGGTGCCTCTCTGAACAAGCATTGTGTGTGCCTTTTTTTTATATCAGTTCAATATCACCGAGCTTGAATGGAGCGAAAAAGCATTGACTATGCTGAGCCACGCTTGAGTGCTAGAAATGTGTAACCAGTCCCCATATGGAAAATGAAGTTCCCCATATGGAAATGTGTGAGGAATGCCGCATTCGTAAACATCTTTCTCTTCCTCAGGAGCACATGAACTATTACTGTACAGCCAGCAGTATGGGACACCTCATAATGTCTCTGAAGTATGAGGACGCAGATGGACAGGAGTCACTGCGTATCATGCTCAGGTGCCCACCATTAACACTGTTAACTGAAACACCACTGCAGTCATACATAGGTAGGTGTGTACTGTATTTTTGGTAACCAAACATGTATTCTATGGTCCTGTTTCTAGGTCAAAAACAAAGACCCTCCATGAGAGAATCCCTCTTGAAGGTCTCATTCATCTGCCAAGCATACCACAGATTGCCAAGGTGAGAATCAGCTAAATATTATCATGACTAAAATGAGACAGAAGCTATTATGTAAACTACAATGCAATGAGCAAACATTAAAGCTGACCTTTAGTTTGCTTTTCATGAACTTTGAGTAATTTCTAAATAATTGGTGCCTCTGAAAGCTGCCTGTTGAGCAATTTTGCAGTGCGTCTTCGTCTTTTAATGCACAAGTAATTTATTAAATAAAAAAAGGCCATTGTTTCATTGATTCCATTGTTCTTTTTGATATTTGACACCAGTGTATCAGGCTGTTTATTTGGTTCAGATGGAAACTGTGCGTTTTTTGCAAATTGTTTTATCTGATGTTCAAGTTTTAAGCATTTATTTAATTTGTATCTTTGGATGAAAACATAGCTAGCTAATGACAAGTTCCTTTATACTGTATACTGTAACCACCCAGTAAAAGTCCAATGAGTATTTCAATAAGTGGCCTGTAAAGGGTTAAACTCTCAAAAGATGTGAGTTGTTGAAATCGAATGTGTCCCGTGTGTTTCAGCTGCTCTGCGATGATGTCACAGGCCTGAAGTTCAACCCCGTTCTCTACCCCAGGGTGAGCATCTCTCAGTTTCTCTCTCACTCCATCTGTGACTTACCTACTCCAGGCATCAGGGTGAACCGGGGCTCCGTTTGCTCCGTTTCACCCTAGTACCCGGCTCATCTGAATTAATATGTTCCTGAGCTCCAGGGGACTCACAAATCCATCTGCTTCACAGCGCCTCGGTCTGCCTTAGAGAAGCCTTGACCATCTCAAGGCTTCGCCGAGGTCTCTCAGGCATGGCGAACACAAATGCCTGAATTATGGAAAAAGCACTGACACACATATTTACCCCTGCAGGCGCTCTCGCTCACTTTCTGCTTTCTCTTGCCCAAGGCTTCGCAACTGATCGTCAGCTTTGATGAGCACGAAGTGAACAACACTTTCAAGTTTGGAGTCATTTATCAGAAGTTCGGTCAGGTGAGAGTTGCTTTCTTCAGTTTCAGACTTCCTCCTTTTCTCATTTATTCTCCTTTTTTTTTATTGTTATTGTCTCTTCACATCAGACATCAGAGGAAGAGCTGTTCGGGAACAACGAGGAGACGCCTGCATTTGCTGAATTCCTCAGTGTTTTAGGAGACAACATTGAATTGCAGGATTTTAAAGGGTGAGAGACGGAGATTGAACTCTGAAAAGTGCTGCTCAGGATCACCTGTTCACACTATAAAGGCCTACTTTAAAGTGTATTCATAGAGGCCGCTTGTGAATAATTTATTTAATTTAGCCATTGTACTTGATTTTGGCAGGATGTCTGCTTTCGGTTATCAGATTGATTTGCATGAGCTTCTGCTGAACTCTTTTGTCTGGTGTGTTATGTACAGGTTCAGAGGTGGTCTGGATGTGTCTCACGGACAGACGGGATCTGAGTCTGTATATACTACGTTTCGTCAGAGAGAAATCATGTTTCACGTTTCCACAAAACTCCCCTTCACTGAAGGAGACATTCAGCAGGTGGGCTTCCCTCGTTTAAATGATTTTTATTGTGTGATATAATAATAATAATTCCTTGCATATAGCGCTTTTCTGGGCACTCAAAGCGCTTTACACAATGGGGGGAATCTCCTCATCCACCACCAGTGTGCAGATATTTAAACGTATATGTTTTATGAGCTATAAATATTATATATAATTTGAATAATAAATAAATATTTTTTTCTTTCTTTTTTCTAGTTTTTATTTAGTTTCAATTAAAACTGAAATATCTAAAATTACAAAATAAATAAAAGTATGTAGTTAACTGAAATAATGAGTGATGTGGTGGCTCAGTGGTAAGCACTGTCCCTTCAAAGCAAGAAGGTTGCTGGTTCGAGTACCGCCTGGGTCAGTTGGCATTTCTGGGGCATCCACTGTGTAAAACATATGCTGGATGAGTTATTTATAGATGAAGAGTTCAGATGCAAAAGCCGTTAAACGCCGCTTCCGCCAAAAATGACATAATGACATTGAGTGAATGCTTTAGGCACGTACTGTAGTACTTGTTCAACAAATAGTTTTGTTTGAAATCATCTAAATCGCAGCATCAGCACATTCAGAAATAACAGTTTGTTTGCAAAAGCCTCTCAAAAGCCGCTATATTTCGAGAACCAATCATGAAGATGCGAATAGAATCAGATGTTTTTAATGTATTGGCACGCTGATACGCCGGTTTTTATGAGACTTTTTTAATTCTGCTTTTAATTTAGATTTTAAAAGATGAAGTTTGATGAACTGCATGAGCCTGTTTACTGTCAGTGAATGGCAAATGAAAACATCCCTTACCTCAAAAAACAATTTACAGTTGCAAGTGTAACATTTATTCATAACGTTTGTTTGCGCAGCGACACTACTTTGAATGAGTCTGATTTACTATACTATACTATACTTAAACAGCAACTGCGTTTCACGAAAGACGAAGTTAAGATGTCGTTCTTTTATTCTGCATGGATGCTATGAGAATAAACAATAGATGGAAAAGAGACCAAGACCTTGAGTATAGTGAGGATGATAAATGGCTTCTGAGAGACATCCTATTTTTAGCACAGTGGGCAAAAAAAAGTACCTTTTTTTTTTTTTTTTTTTTTGTTTTTTGCTAATGTTAGCTATGTTTTAAAAGATAAATATGATGTATAAAACTTTACATTTTCCTTCTGCTTAGTCCCTAGTTTATTAGGGTTACCACAGCAGACTGAACTGCCACTTACTTGACAGATTTATGTATTTTTTATTTCAGGTGGTTTGTGTATGTGTTATATGTTTGGTAAAATTATTTCTAATTGCCTCTTTAGTGATTTTTCAACTAATTACTGTCCTGTCTTGTCATATAGGTGGATTTAAAGTTTTTTTTTGCAACAAAAGCAGAATTGGATTTAGCTGGTTTTAAAGCTAAAGAAAAGTTGCCTTGCTACAAACCAAAGAATTGTCAAAAGTGACATTTTTGAAACAAATATATTTTATTTACCAGCTAATGAGCCTGATAGAAAATGCTGGTCTGCTGGATTTAGAGGGTTTTGCATCTGAACTCTTCATATATTTTCTCTATAGTTTCCCAGGAATTGTTTCTAGTTTTATTTAGTTTAATTTAAAACTAAAATATCTCAAATTACAAAATATCTCAAATTACTTAATTAACTAAAATAATTTATAAGATATAAAGGTATTTTTATTCAAAACAATAAAATGACAAAAATACAATACTGCAAATATTTTATATATTTTATGTGAATATTTTACTAGAAAAGGCAATCGTTAAATCTACTCTAAACTATTAATAAAAAAAATTTAAAAAAAACTCTAGACCAGAGGTGTCCAAACTCAGCATACCTGCATATTTTAGTTTCAACCCCAATTAAACACACCTGAACCAGCTAATCAAGCTCTTTCTAGGTATTAGACACTTCCAGGCAGGTGTGCTGAAGGAAGTTGAAGCTAAGCTATGCAGGACACCGGCCCTCCAGGACCGAGTTTGAGCACCCCTGCTCTAGACTATAAATCTCAATAAAATCAACTGAAAAAAAAATTTACTTGACAATTAAGAACATCTCTCTTTGTATATTATAGTTATTTCAATAGGAAAAATATTGGCACGATTCATTTGCATTGCAGTAATGACAACTGGAAAGATATGTACTTTAAAGAAATTCACAATGCATGAACATGTCAGTGGTCTTAAAAAATCCATGATGTCCCGTGTAAATAATTTATTATGATTGTTACGGTGGTGAAGAAATCAGGAATAATGGAAAATGATATTTAAAAAAGCTAAAACTTGTAGTGTTATTTAAACGTTATAGTATATACTTTAAAAGTTATATGCTATCTGTATAATTGTTTTTCATTACCGTAATTACATGACTATTATTATTTAAAATTCAGTCATGACAATTGGAGAGAAATATATTTTAGGTGTCGTAAAATTGACAATGCAAACGTTCATTCATTCATTCATTCATTCATTCATTCATTCATTCATTCATTCATTCACTCATTCTCTATCGGCTTAGTTCTTTTCTTCATCAGGGGTCGCCACAGAGGAATAAACCGTCGTTATCAAGCGTATGTTTTACACAGTGGATGCCCTTCCAGCTGCAACCCAGTACTGGGAAACATCAATACACACTCATTCACACACATACACTACAGCCAATTTTGTTTATTCAATTCACCTTAGGGCCAGACGGAATCTGCGGACATTTTTTTGCTATTTTTGCACAGAGTTTTGTTTAAAATTTGCAGATTTATGCGGAATGATTTTGGGAGTATCATAACTAAAAACTGAATATATGAACTAAAACGTAATACCTTTTTAACTCTAATGTTTACAATGCAACTCCAATTAGATCCACTTATTTGGTAAACAAATCATGTCTTCTATATAATATATCTACTCAAAGACAGAAAATATGACTTTACAAACTGTATTGTGAATAAATTATATGAACATTTTTATGTTAGCCAATAATTATACTGAAATTTAAAAACTAAATAAATATAAATTTACACAAGTTAATAAAAAAACCTTGATGGGCTAAATATCTGCGGAATTCTGCATGCACAGATTCCCTGTGAGCCTACCTATAGCTTTGGACTGTGGGGAAAACCGGAGCACCCGGTGGGAACCCATGCCAACACAGGCAACATGCAAACTCATATATGAACATGCAAACCCAGCCGGGATTTAAACCAGCGACCTTCTTGCTGTGAGGCGACAGTGCTAACCACTGAGCTGCTGCATTGCCCACAATGCAAATGTATTGTTATATACACATATATAAAAGAAATATGTATAAAAACCAATATAAAGCAATGCATAACGTTTTGGATTAAGTGGCTATATTTATTTGTACCATTTCATTTGTACATTGTATTACTATTTGCTCTTCCCCCAGTGATAGGTAAGTATAGGGGTGGGGTTTGTGGGCATGTCTCCCTTTAAAAATTGTATGTTTTCATATGCCATTTTACTAACAATACATAAAATAGTTACATTTCCTCGTGAGATCATGCTGGTATAAACATCAGTACCTGTTTGTTGAACCAAATACAATCGAAATATTTAGATGTAAATATCTCTCTCTCAGCTCCAGAGGAAGAGACATATTGGCAATGACATAGTGGCAGCCATCTTCCAGGAAGAGCCCACGCCATTTGTGCCTGATATGATCGCATCCAACTTCCTTCATGCCTACATATTAGTGCAGGCAGAAAACCCTTGCACCGATCACACAACATACAAGGTTTGTCAACAAGCAGCTCACTTAATTACATCCAGATGGCCATCAATCCCTTAACAAACACTGATCAGAGAAATTGACCGGTGTTCACAGGTGTCCGTCACGGCAAGAGAGGACGTCCCACCATTCGGCCCCCCTCTGCCAAACCCCTCAGTCTTTAAGAAGGTAATGTTAGAAGACTAGTTCTAGTGAAATGTGGCAGCAGATGATGATGATGTGTGTAGACCATTTTGAGGGATGTAAACAAAAACAATGGTCCCACCGTATTTCCTGTTTTACATTTTTAATATTTTATATATACATTTCTATAGCTTCCGAAAATCCAAAGAGAGCCACATATTGATGAATAATGTTATGATAGCTGTTTTAACATTAAGTTATGATTTAACTGCCTCTTCCTTCAGTTTTAATAACAAGCAGGAAATGTTTATGGGCAAATGACATGACTGCATTGAAATGGTCTATTATAAAATGATGGCTCAATTCTTCCGCAGGGTCCTGAATTCAGGGAATATTTCCTGACAAAACTGATCAATGCAGAGAACGCTTGCTACAAATCAGACAAGTTCGCCAAGCTGGAGGTGAGAAAAAGACATTCAGAAATCAACCTAACTGTTAGATTGTATTTTATATATAGGAAAAATATAAAGGATTCACTATCTGGTTGATTTAGAGCAGAGATGCCCAAAGTAGGACCCTCAGGCCAAAGTTGGCCCTTGGTAACCTTTTTATTTGGCCCACTATCCTACCTAGCGTAAACTTGCGGAGCTACCAAAAAAGCTAACTGAAATTAAATGTTGAAAATGAATTTGATTTTTAAAAATGTAAATAGTGTCACACAACAGATAAAGGACAATGCTGAAGACAAAGCGAACAAATTAAGACAAAAACCAGTGTAACTCCATTCTGTTAGAGATTTCTGTTTATGAGATTTTTGTTTTTGTTTTTACTGTAATAAATAAATAAATAAATAAATAAATATATATGTATATATATATATATATATATATATATATATATATATATATATATATATATATATATATATATATACATACTGCATTAGTTAATATAAAGCAATGTTTTGTAGTTTTTATATATTTCCTATTAAATAAATTAGAAAATCACCCATGGCGAATATATTTACCTTCGGCCCACTAGTCTCAATCAAGTTTGGGTTTTGGCTATTCAGAAGAAAAAGTTTGGGTACTCCTGATTTAGAGGAACTTTAAACGAGGGCTGCACAATATTGAAAAAATTAGATATTTCAATATTTTATTTTTCGCCGATAAATATTGCAATATAGATACAGTTTGACAAGATTCGTTGAATAGCTCTATTTGATGGCTTTCTAGGGAGCCTAACAGTATTCTGGTACAGAAAATGAATAATCACAATGCAATAAATGTTTTTTTTTTTACTTTGTTTTGTCTAGTTTCTAGTCCAAATATCAAAAAATCTTAGATCAAGTAAAAATATTGTTTTGTTTTAACCTAGAGAAGAGATTTTCCTTAAAACAAGCAAAATTGTCTGCCAATAAGTAAGTAAAATAATCTTGCTTTTGCTTTGAAATGAAGATATTTGGAGTAGAAACAAGACAAACATTCTAAGAAAAAAACTTTTTTTTCTATTTTTTTAATTATTTTTTTAGCATGAATTGTATATATTCTTTATAAACAGTAATTAAGTACAATTCTGTGGCTCCTGTTCAACTATAATTCAGATTCAACATCGCATGTCTTGCGATGTGACTATTTTGTGTGCGCACATTGCAAAATCGATGCTGAAACGATGTATTGTGCAGCCCTGTCGAAAAAAAATCCTGTTATGCTTATTGTGTAATGTTTTTGTTTCATTGTGAAGAATATTCTTTATTCTCAGGTCAAGATATACCAAACATCTATAGCCTTTTATAGGGCTGCGTGATTAATTTAAATGAAATTGCAAATCATGTGCATCTTGTCAGGGAAGCACAGTGTGATCTGTAGTAAATCTTCTTCGAAGGCCAGAGTGCGCTCTCACGGAAACTCCAAATACCAGAAGAAACACAATAAAACCCAGGAAATCTCCATAGCAGTTGTTGAATGAACAGAAGAATAAACTGCTTTCAATGATTCAGTGCGACTGTATTACTTGAGAAACACATTACTTGAGAATCATCCCACTGAAGAATTTAACTCGTCACTTGACTAAAATTTGAAGTAAAAACATAATTTTATATGTGGTATTTTTAGGTTCAACATTTACTACAAAGAGAAGCGACGCAAATAGCTGTAATAATCACGGAACAGTTATCTCAATTATCAAATGTAAAACGAATTGAAAACTGTCTTCTGTGTAGCTCATTAGTGAACTGCGACCCTGTGTAGGAAATGCTGCTCTGTCTGAAAAACATGTTGAAGATTTACTAGAACCAGCTTTACTGACAAGATGCACATGAAAATTGTCTTGGATTAATCTCCCAGCTCTAGTCCATTAACTCTAAATGATAATGTTTTATGTTATAATGTTGATCCAATGTTGTAACAGTACAAAATAAATGAAAAGGGCAGTTCATGACAGGCCATTGGAGTAAAACCTCTGCGCTCATCTAGAAAGGGGGGTACAATAGCTTTTACACAGAAAGAGGCATTTTAAAGAGGGTCAAATAATTTTGCTATAAGCTGAAACATCACATATACATTAAGGGTACACCTGATACTTCTCTTACATCCTGTAAAAAGGGGATAACAAGACTCATTCAATGTTGCACATCAATTACCAATGACTTTCTTTTTTTTTGGAGGAACTGTATCTTTAAATGATCTGCATCATTGTCTGTGTTTGTGTGTGTGTGTGTGTGTGTGTGTGTGTGTGTGTGTGTGTGTGTGTGGGGCTGTGATTGACAGGAGAGGACACGAGCAGCGCTGTTAGATAACCTTCACGATGAACTGCACAGACAGACACAGGCTACGGTGGGACTGGGCTCAGCTACTGATGAAGAAAAGCTGGAAAATGGAGGTCATGGTGGACTGCTGGAGTCATTTAAGGTGAGATGCCCAGTCCTGACTTCCAGTTGTCAAATTAAAGAGACAGTTAACGCTAAAAAATGAAAATTTTGTCATCATTTACTCTCCCTCCGTTTGTTCCAAACCTTTATGACCCTTATGTTAATCTAATTTATGTCCATATGTTGAAGTCAAAATTATCAGCCCTTATCCTATATTTTATTTGTTTTAGTTTGTGTGTAATAAAAGATTCACTATCTGGTTAATTTAGAGCAGAGATGCCCAAAGGCCAAAGTTGGCCCATTGTAACCTTTCATTTGGGCCACTGTCCTTTCTTACGTAAACTTGCAGAGCTACCAAAAAAGCTAACTGAAATTAAATGTTTTAATTCAATGTTGTAAATGAATTAGATTTTTAAAAATGTTTTTAATGTTTAAAAAAAGTATTTTAAGGTCAATATTATTAGCCTGAACAAACCACTGTTATCCAATAACTTGAATAATTATCCTAACTTGCCTAGTTAACCTAATAAACTATTTAAGTCTTTAAATTGCACTTTAAGCTGAATACTAGTAGTTTGAAAAATAAGTAGACAAATAAAATAAATGAGTTATTTATCATAAGTTTAACTTGAACTGTATATTAGATTATATTTATATTTGAACATGTTTGTAATTCTGATTGAAAAAAAATTCTACATGTAAACTGTATGTACAGTTGAAGTCAGAATGATTAGTCCTCCTTTAATTTTATTTTCCTTTTTTAAATATTTCCCAAATAATATTTAACAGAGCAAGGACATTTTGACAGTATGTCTGATAATATTTTTTCTTCTTTAGAAAGTCTTATTTGGTTTATTTCGGCTAAAATAAAAAGTTTAAATAAAAAAAAAACTTTTAGGGTCAAATTTATTAGCCCCTTTAAGCTATATATTTTTTGGATATTCTACAGAACAAACCATCATTATACAATAACTTGCCTAATTAGTCTAACCTGCCTAGTTAACCTAATTAACCTAGTTAATCTGTTAAATGTGCGAAGCAGTGGCGCAGTAGGTAGTGCTGTCGCCTCACAGCAAGAAAGTCGCTGGGTCGCTGGTTCGAGCCTCGGCTTAGTTGGCGTTTTTGTGTGGAGTTTGCATGTTCTCCCTGCGTTCGCATGGGTTTCCTCTGGGTGCTCCGGTTTCCCCCACAGTCCAAAGACATGTGGTACAGGTGAAATGGGGAGGCTAAATTGTCCGCAGTGTATGAGTGTGTGTGAATGTTTCCCAGAGATGGGTTGCAGCTGGAAGGGCATCCGCTGCGTAAAGTCTTGCAGGATAAATTGAGCTGTGGCAACCCCAGATTAATAAAGGAACTAAGCCGACAAGAAAATGAATGAATGAATCTGTTAAATGTTACTTTAAGCTGTATAGAAGTGTCTTGAAAAATATCTAGTCAAATATTATTTACTGTCATCATGACAAAGATAAAATAAATCAATTATTAGAAATTAGTTATTTAAAGTATTATGATTAGAAATGGGTTGAAAAAACCTTCTCTCCGTTAAAAAGAAATTTGGGAAAAAATAAACGGGGGGTGGGGGGGGGGGGGTTGAGGGCTAATAATTGAGGGGGGCTAATAATTCGGACTTCAACTGTATATATATATATATATATATATATATATATATATATATATATATATATATAAATGACATTTTTATATTTGTGAAGTCCAAACTTGACAACATGAGCTTGTCTGTCTTATTTATTTGCTCATATTTTACATCTTTATGTGGACAAGTTTCACAAAAAAAGGTATTTTGAAGAATGTGGCAAAACGATAGTTGTTCCATAGTACTTCACCCCCTAATACTTACCGGCCACTTTATTAGGTACACCGTACTAGTACCGAGTTGGACCCCCTTTTGCCTTCAGAACTGTTTTATTCCTTCATGGCATAGATTCAACAAGGTACTGGAAATATTCCTCAGAGGTTTTGGTCCATACCGACATGATAGCATCACACAGTTGCTGCAGATTTGTCAGCTGCACATCCATGATGTGAGTTACTGTTGCCTTTCTATCTGCTGGAACCAGTCTGGCCATACTCCTCTGACCTCTGGCATCAACAAGGCATTTGTGTCCACATACAGTGACTTCCGTTCACTGGATATTTTCTCTTTTTCTGACCATTGTCTGTAAACCCTAAAGATGGTTGTACGTGAAAATCCCAGTAGATCAGCAGTTTCTGAGATACTCAGACCAACCTGTCTGGGACCAACATCCATGCCACATTCAGTCACTTAAATCATCTTTCTTTCCCCATTCTGATGCTCGGTTTAAAATGAAGCAGATCATTTTGACCATGTCTACATGCATAACTGCATTGAGTTGCTGCTATGTGATTGGCTGATTAGAAATTTGCGTTAACGAGCAGTTGGACCTAATAAAGTGCCTAGTGAATGTTGAGGTCAATGGCTACCAGTTACCATCATTCTTCAAAATGTATTCTTTAGTGTTCAACAGAGAAAGGAAATCATTAAGGTATGGAACAATTTGAAGGTAACAGTGAGTGAATTACCCCTTTAAAATATCAAAGTACTTTTTTTATTAGTACATGGAGAAAGAATAAGATACTTTTCAACATTATAGGATCAGTACGACTTTTTAAAGAAATTAATCATTTCTGTTTAAATTGAAATATTAAGTAGTTAAATGATAAGAGTACTGACAATAAACATGATTTTATTATTATATGGATTTGTCAAGGATTATGTGACATTTAAGACTATTAATGGTTGCTGAAAATTAAATTCATATTTACTTTATTTCTGATAATATAAATGCAGCCTTGGTGGGCATGGAAAAGGAGATGTACTGAAAGCTCCTGTGTTTACCTGTCTGGCTACACTTCAGACCGTCTGTCAGGTCATTAAAATGCATGAAACTGAGCTGTTTTGGACTAAGCTCTCATTAGTAGGCCTGTGAGTGTGTGTTTGTGATCTTATGCATGACTTTGCTGTGTGCGGATGTTTACAGGCCGGGTGCAGGTGTGTGTGGGCCAGTTTGCAGACACACTCTTGTCCAGCAGTGCTGATCTGCGTAGCAGCCGTGACTGTGTATCGTTATCAAGCCGAACTGATGCAAATGATGACCAGTGCACATTAAACATTTATACAACAACACAAGAGTCCAAGATTTTTTTTTTTGCTTTGTCATTAAAATCATCATTTAATTTGATCACCAGTGACGATATACAGCTACTACACTGCTACTGCTAATAATAATAATGATAATAATAATTCCTTACATTTATATAGCGCTTTTCTGGGCCAGACCGCACACCACACACCGCCTGATTGGTGGAGAGGAGACAGAGTGATGAAGCCAATTGGAATATGGGGATGGTTAGGAGGCCATGATGGACAGAGGCCAGTGGGCAGATTTGGCCAGGATGCCGGGGTTAAACCCCTACTCTTTTTCGAAGGACATCCTTTGATTTTTTTAACGACTACAGAGAGTCAGGACCTCGGTTTAACGTCTCATCTGAAAGACGGCGCTCACTGTGCAGTATAGCGTCCCCGTCAATATACTGGGGCATTAGGACCCACACTCACTAACACTACTTCCGGCAGCAACCTAGCTTTCCCATGTGGTCTCCCATCCAGGTACTGACCGGGTGCAGCCCTGCTTAGCTTCAGTGGGCGACCATGTGAGAGTTGCAGAGAGCAAGCTGCCGGCTACGAGTGTGATATTGCGTTTATACAACAGTTTGATTGCAAAACATGTGATTTTGCTGACATTTTAAAATTACAAGGCTAAACGGCATGAACTGCCATCATTCTACAGAGATTTCCCAGTATTTCTCTGTTGCAATCAGGAGATCACAATAATTATCTCCGAAAAAGCCACTACTAGATTAGTGTTTGTGGTCAGGAAAAAGCCTAAACACATGCGGGCATTTCTTCTTTCTTTCTTTTTACTGAACTAGTCTGCAGTAATGAAAACAGGAGACTTATTAGAAATAGACGGCCAACCAAAACTCAAACTCAAAAGGTAATACAAAGAATGGCCAACACAAATACATACATTCCTGATATGTGAGTCCCATCTCACACTTAATACACTACAATTATATGGTATAAATACAGCACTACAACATACAAAAGAGAGAGAGCAACTTATAATATCACTTACTTGTTTTATAATGATTTGATCAGCTGTAGATAGAAATTACAGTTTTTAGCTTCTAAGGGCTTATTATGAGGTCTCTGTCGCCATCTTGTGAATGGACAACGTCTTTGCTCTGCTCAATGACAGACTAATGGCTGCCGACATGCTGTCTCTCAGAAATTATAAATATTTAAAAATGCAATCTAAACAACTATATTCTCTACTAAAAAACCTCAAAAGTACATTATGTTGCCTAACAGCAGCAATATTTGTCAAACTGTAATGCAGCACTACAACTGTAAGGGTGAAGAGTGATGTTATTTGCAGAATATTGTACAGCTATCAGCCAATCAGATTCAGGAACCAGACAGAACTACTGTAAGTATAAATATATATATCAATAATATATCAATATTATTATATTATATTATAATATATTATTTTATGGCCTTACCCTACCCCTAAACCCAAACCTCACAAAAAACCTGTGGCAAATTTTGAATGTAAAAAGATCCTGTTTGTATGATTTTTAAGCGTTTTAAATAATGAGGACACAAGACATGTCTTAGTAGGCTACTTTAGAGAATACAACTAGAGTACAATCAGAGAACAACTTGGTCATATCCATGTAATTACTGTACTCAATTTTGTAAACTGGCGATGCAGTGGCACAGTACGTAGCACGTTTAACATTATTTATCAGGGGTTGCCACACCAAAATGAACCACCAACTTATCCAGCACGTTTTATGCAGCAGATGCCCTTCCAGCCGCAACTCACACACATACACTATGGACAATTTAGCTTACTCAATTCACCTGTACCACATGTCTTTGGACTTGTGGAAAAACCAGAGCACTCGAAGAAAACTCACGTGAACACGAGGAGAACATGCAAACTCCACATAAAACTGACCCAGCTGAGGCTCGAAGCAGCGACCTTCTTGCTGGGAGGTAACAGCGCTACCTATGTACTGCACCACCGTGCCACCGTGTATATAAGATTATATAATAAAATATGTAATTTTTAATGAGTATTTTACCTTACTGTATAATTTTTTGTTAATTATATATTTGCATATATTTTATTCAAAATTATATTTTTAAAATATTTTTATTTTTATAAAATATACTGTTGAACAAAATATATGTAATATAACAATATACATATTTTTTATGTAACAAGATACACGTAAACAAAACTGTTAAAAACCTATTTTCCTACTTTGACCTTTGCCTTTAGTATTAAGCAAGGATGTAGCACCACCTACTGGCTATTCATGGTCATGTTCAGCTTTTCTTATTTATTGAATGAATGAATAGATGGATGGATGGATGGATGGATGAAGAAATTGTTACCAGCAAACTTTACATAAAACTGCACAATTAATGATAACAATAATTAACATAATTTCTTCCTTTCCCTCTACAGAATGTATTGTGGTCATGCACAGAAGATTTTAATTCTAGTATAGATGCATCTCTCACTCTCATGTTCTGTCTGTGTGTCCGTCAGAGGGCCATGCGTGTGAGGAGCCACTCCATGGAGACGATGGTGACCCACAAACACAAGAGTCCTGGGGCAGTGGCGGGCGTCCCTTCCAGTCTGAGCGGCGGTGGACTCCAGCAGAACAGCATGGAGTGCACCAAGAGCACCTTCACTGTAAGTAAACACTGTTCTCAACACCTGCATTCTTTTACTAAACCCCTGCATGGTGTATAAATGGGTTCATAAAACATTTATTATGTAGTAGAAAATATGGCATGAGCATACAGGAGAAATATATATATAGATTATGCTGTTTTCAAATGACAGAAGACACTGCTTACACTCAGCAATTAAGTAGTATTAGCAAAAGTAAAAAGAGGATAAAACATACATTTCAGACACTAAAACGGTGCTGGAATAAGGCACTGTCCCAGGTAAAACAGATCATCTGGTCACACTGTATTTATTGTTATAATAACAGGGATTCAATATTGAAGTTTATTTTGTTTGTGTTTGTCAGCCTCCAGTTCTGTCTGCGAAGTCTCCATTGAAGAGTCCAGTAAAACGGCGCTCGGGGCTGTTTCCCAGACTGCACTCCAGCACAGAAAGTCCAACTGAGAAACATCCCACTCGCAGGTAAAACAATAACACTCAAATGTATATGTGAAAATAACACTCATCAAAGGTGAGTAAAAATCAGCGTAGGCAAGCACATGAAACAGTGTTAAGACCACTGTGTAAAGCTTTTTTTATTCTTAGGTCTGAAAAATACTGTTCATCTCAGTATATAAATAAAATATACAATTTATTATTATTGGTATTATTTATAGTAGTAGTAATATACTACCACTTCTACTACTAATATAAACAATAATAATAATTTATATAACACTACTAATAATAATAATAATAATATCCTGATTTATCAGGGGTCGCCACAACAGAATGAACCGTTGACTATTCTGGTATATGTTTTACCTAGCAGATAACCATCCAGCTGCAACCCTACTGGAAAAAATACTAATAATAAAAATAGAGTAGTAATAATAATTATAAAATGTATGTATTGTTATTTGTTATAAATTAAAAATCAGTAAAATATTACTGTAAAACAGTTGGACTATAAAATGTTTATTAATAATATTAATAATAATAATGAATTTTGTTATTATTTTAATTGTTTATTGTTATTTGTTATAAAATAAAAATCAATAAAATTTCACTGTAAAACTGTTAGACTATAAAATATTTGTATTAATAGTATTATTATTATTATTAATAATAATAATAATACTTATTATTAATATTATTTTGTGTATTGTTATCAATTTAAAATCAATAAAATATCACTGTAAAACAGTTGGACTATACATTTTTTTAATAATAATATCAATAATTATTATTATTATTTTATTTATTGTTATTTGTTATTATAAAATAAAAATCTATAAAATATCACTGTGAAACAGTTGGACTATACATTTTTTATTAATAATATTAATAATAATAATAATAATAATAGTTATTATTATAATTATTATTACTATGATTATTGTTGATATCAGTACATTAGCATCCTTGTATTCTCAGAGTATGCATGTTGTTATGTGTTGATGTTAAATACAGGATCAAAAGTTGCTGATTATTCCAGAAATATACTATTGAAGTTTTTGTTTTTCACAGCATATTTTTTTTTATTTTTCATGTGTTTTATCCTTACAGTGTGTGTTTGTTTGCTCTAAACAAACTGCTCTATCTTTGTCTAGTGACCAAAAAACAGAAGTGTTCCCTGCGTCACAGGAAGTGAGGTCAGAGACATCGTCCAATCCGAGCTCTCCTGAAATCTGCCCAAACAAAGAAAGGTGGGTTCCCGATTCCCAGGTGCAGTGAGGGGGTTTTCTGGCATTTGATGATAATATCATAATGTTGTCCAGCTCCTCGTCTTCAGTAGAGTATGTGCAAGGCTCTTGATGTGTCATGTGTTCTCTGTTCATCATGTTGTTTTGTCCTACAGGCCGTTTGTGAAGCTGAAAGAGTGCAGCGGCAGAGCCAATATCTCCATCTCCAGATCCTCCTCCAGCACCAGCAGCTTCAGCAGCACCGCAGGAGAAGGAGACGCTCTGGAGGAACTTGAGATGGTGACAAGCACATACACACACACACATTGACACAAATACACACATAAATACATGCACACACGCAAATACACACATGCACACACAATATGCACAAAAACACTCACCCATAAACACGTTTAATTACACAGAAACACAAAAACAGGCCCACATGCACATACACACATCCACACACAATATGCTCGAATACACTCACCCATAAACACATACACACAAATATACACACAAATATACACATATATAATGTGTAATAAATCTATCATGACATTTTTAGATAGATGAACACCTGCTAGTCAACCTAATAATATCCAGAGAGAGTTGGAGGACAGTCTGCAGTGTGTGTGTGAGAGTTTTACTCATGTTGTGTTGTGTCTTGTAGATCAGTCACCCGTCCACGGCTTCATCTGTCTATTGTCCATCTCTTAGCGTGGAGAGCCAGAGCTCTGGGACGCCACTGATCATGTGCCGCAGCCCCACAGGTGAAATACATGCTAACAACAACAACAACAGTAAGCAGATGCAAAACCACAGCCATACGCATGCTTGTTAAACATGTCACATCAAAATCATTTAGCCTGTAGGCAAGAGGCAGCAGCTGGAATATTCAGACTTGGAATGTGGTGTATGCAATATGCATAGTTTTGGTTAAGAGATATGCATAAACAATGATACATTTACAAGCTTACACATGAATATAATTTGTCACTGTAATTAAAAAAATAGTCTTTTTATTAGATGGAAAGAACAAACCTGAGGTCAAAATGCTTTAACCATCTAACATGCAGAAAAAAGAAATTGACCTTTTTTTTGGTTCAGTTGTGTTCTCATGTTTCACAAATTTAAAGTTTTTAGTTTTAATGATGACCTGTGCACAAAAGTTGTGCCGTAAAATACCTAGGTTCACTTAAAAATATATAAATATATCTTATTTAAATACAAAATGTATTAACTTTATCTAGTTAGCATGAAAATTATCATATCATGAGCTGAGTGGTGGGGGTTTGGGGGGGGGCATTCTTTTTCTAGAGTGTTGTTTTATCATTGTTATGAAATAAACTTTAACTAAATAGTCTATTTAATTGTATTATTGATGCTAATATTAGTAGTATTCAATAGTATTGATATTCATTATTACTATTAATAATGTCTTGTTAAGGTCTGTCTTGTTAAATGCCCAGCAACTTTATGTGACTATTTTCAATTTCCTAAGGTTCCTTTTACATCATCGATGTTGTGATGTAACTAAAATATAATCAGTTAAACAGACTTCAGCATTCAATTAGTTGTTGAGGTGTAAATAAAGAGATGAAAATGAGCAGCAGCTGAGAGCAGGAACTTCATTGAAAAAACTGTGGTAAAATAAATTTCCATATTTTAATGATATGGAGTGGAACAATGGAATTAAATTTAGTGATTCCTGCTTGATCTGAGACCCACTTTATGTCACATATCTATCAGGATGTGAAGATCACTGATTTCTAAAGAAATCAGATCTTAAACATGACAGTTCACTGGAAATTATAAATATAAAATGTCCCTGTGCATAAATACCCCAATCATCAAGATTTGGATCATTTTTCATTATTGAAATATGTATGAGGTAAAATAAGGTAATAATGTTCAAAGTGCACACTGGAATAAGTTGAAATACTGAAATGCAAATAAATAAGAGCTGAAAAGAAAAAGAACATCAAAGATTCAAATAAAAGTGGTGAACCACATAAAGTAAAAATATCATCTTATAAACTACTGCATGTCATCGGTTAAAGCTGTAGATTACAAACAAAACCACAAAATGAGCATTTTCAAAGTTAATATGAAAGGTCAATAAATGTTAGCTTTAAAAACCGCAAACTAAAACAAGTTAAAGATTTAAAAAGATTGAAATATACTGGAACTAAGTGGAATATAAAAACTGAAGAAAAAAAAACATTAATCAAAGAACAGTTTAGGCTTTAAACAATTTAAACACAAGAAAACAACTCAAATGGAAAGAAAATATTAATAAAATTAGAAAGAAATATTTTTCTAAAAGTCTAAAACTGAAAAACAGATCAAAGCAAAAATAAATATTAAGAAATAAATGAAAGAATATTCTACTACATTATATAGTTGTAAATAAGGGTGACATCTACACAATTGTGCATAAACAGAAGTATACTTGCACTTTAAAACAGCAATGAAAAAAAAGAACCGTCTTTTTTTTAATCTTCTTCTTCTTTTCTTCAGATGGGAAAAGCAAAACTTCACCGAGGTCAAACTTGAAATTCCGCTTCGACAAACTGAGTCACTCCACAGTAAGTGTCGTGTCCTCAGAAAACCTTCAGAGCAGCGGTGTGTATGAGTTTTTTTTATACATATACTGGCTTCAGAGTCCATTGTTTTATGACAGATCAAATTATCTGATTGTCTCTGTTAATAAAGTGAATAATGAGATGTCAATTTATTCATGTAAGTGTTCCTCTTTCTTTCAGGGTCATTAGGTCTGACAGAAAACACTGCTGGGACTAAAGGTACTTTACCTTTTACCGTAAACTTAAATCTTTAATATAGGGATGAACAGACATTTTTGGAAATAGTACTTTATTAATACTTTTGATACTGATAAAACACACATAAACTCGCATAAAAATATACAATTTTATTTTATAATTTTATATTTATATTTATTAAAATAAAATAAAAATACTTTTGGGCAGAAATGTGTACAGTATATGTTAATAATATAGAGACTTTTTCTCCTTGCTGAAACATCTACAAACTAATATATAAAAATAAATACAAAAAACAACTGATTATTCAGTTTAACCAAATATTTATTGTTAACTAAAACTACAACAATTAAAACAATTTTTGGTATTTAAAAATAAAATGATACCTCTTACAATTTGCAAACCAGAAGTGTTATTTTGGTTACCAAGTTGATATGTGATTTCTTAAACTATAGCCAAAAATATTTTATTGAAACAAAAGTAGTAAGAATAGATACTAATAAATAATAATAATAGAAATTCTAAATTAAAAAGCACAAAGGTTTTTAAATAAATTTGAATAAAATATTAGAAAAATAATATTAAGTAATAAAATAATATTCAAGTCATTTTTATTTCTATTGCGCAATTTTACACAATACTAGATTGTGTAAATGCAGCTTAACATATTAGTTCTAGTAAAAAGGAACAGTATCAGTCCAGTTTTCAGAGTTGAAGTTCAGTTCAGTGTGGTTTAGTTTTCACAGCTAAAAGTCCAAACACTAAAGAGCAAATCCATCGATGTGCAGCTCCACAAGTCCCAAACCAAGCAAGCCAGTGGCGACAGAGGAACGAAACTTTACCAATTTATGAAGTAAAGGAAATTTTTTTTTTATATTGGATGAAAACAACCTTGAAAAAATGAGAAAAACAAATAAATTGAAAGCTGAAATTAATTGTAGGAAATGTACTAAAGTTGAAAAAAATAAAACACAAAATGGAAAAAAATAAAACCAAAATCATAAAATAAACAAATCTATAAATTAAATAATGAGATGACAAAATAAAAATTACGAGACATAAATTATAATTGTTGTCTTGGAAGTTAGCCGAAATAAATTGAAGTAGTTGCAATGAAAAAATATGAAAATAGAATAAATAAATTAAAAGCATTTTTAATGAAAAAATCTGCAACAGAATTCATAAAGGCAGCAACACCAAAGCTCAAAAAGATCTCTTTTTACATTTTTTTTTATTTAAATATATAAATAAAAAATATTTAAATGTATTAACTTGAAAAAAGTTTTTACAAAGCATATGACGTTTCGACCACACCGTCCGGCTCTTCATCAGATGCATTTTTTTTTCAATTAAAAAATCAGCTAAATGATTAATGAAAAATGTTTTATTGGAAACTAATTCAAATAAAATGTAACCACATACACAAGAATACTACTATAGTATAATAGTAAAAATAATACATAAATGAAACAATTTCCATTTAATATATAATTTCTGCATGATATTTGTTACCAGTTAAAAAAGAAATTAAGTCGAATATGAATCATTGCCTTATTAAACTACATATTTCTATATATCCTATTTCTCTGAATCTATGTGCTGCAAAAAAAACGAACATTTACAAAGTGTGTCTGTTTTTGTCTTTCTAGGCAGTGACTTTGAATGGATTTTTATAGATTGGAAGAAAAAGGGACCATTTTCTCAAGCCAATGCAACAGTTACGACTGTTCAACATAATACACAACTCAACACTATGTTAAAAACTCAAAAGTAAAGAGTTTAGGGCACGAAAACACCAGTCTTAGTAGAAAAAGCAACAACTGTCTCTGTTTTTTCCAGCATTTTAAATGTAGTGTTGACAACTCTCTTTGCCTATAGCTGCGAATGAATGCTTTCTAGACAGACGCTCAATATTAACACAATACTTGAAGAGGACAAGTCATTAAATGTTACAGAAGCGAACTGAAGTAGAGATTACGGGTCATTCGAAGGAGTCTTGTAACGTTGCCCGTCAATGCTAAGCCTTAAAATACTGTACACGATAGAAAGATGGATTCAGATTTTTCGGAGTGATGTAAAAAAGAAAAAGCTTTCCTGAGGGCAACCAAAGAGAAAGATTACCCGGGTTTATTTGTGGTAAACTATGAGATCGAATGGATGGTGAAAACACACTTTGTTGATTGCTCATTTCGTCGTACATTTAGTTCTTGACATATTTGTTCAACACTGATTTGGCAGCTGCTGTTGACTGTATTGAGGCGGCAATTAACTAACAAAATATTATTTACAGATAACAGCTCTGTAAATTAAAATAGTTATACAATTTATACTTTGAGTGAAATGTCATTTTTGTTTAAATCTGTGAGCTTAAAATGAAAATATTGTCTTTTTTGGATAAAATAACAAGTGTTATTTTCAGACATATTTATATTCATTTTTTCGAAAACATAAAATCAATATTTCAACTTCAGAAAATTAAAATGAATATCAAATAGCCTCAAATTTAAATAAAAAAATCTACATGACAGTATTTTATTTGAAATATGGAGGAAATGTTATTGACATTTCAATTATCAGTAGTTGAACAAACACAAATGAACATTTTAATCAAAACACATACCTATGGAGCCAAATCAGTCTAAAAAATTACATTTACAAAATACACATACATTTCATACATCCACAGCAGTTCAAATTTACAAAATCCAATTCACAAATTCAAAAATACACAAATCCAATTCATAAATTTGAAATTGCGATTCCTAAATACACAACTCGTATTCGTAAGTTCAAAACATGATTTAAAAATACACATGTCCAATTCGTAAATTCAAAACATGATACACAAATACAATTTGTTAATTCAAAACGCAATCCGTAAATATACAAATCCAATTTGTAAATTCAAAACATGATTCATAAATACACAAATCCAATTTGTAAATTCAAAAAATGATGTTAAAATACGCAAATCCATTTCGTAATTTTAAAACGTAATTCATAAATACATATCCAATTCGTAAATTTAAAACATGATTTAAAAATAAAAAAATCTAATTCACAAATTCAAAACGCGATTCGTAAATACACAAATCCAATTCAGAAATTCAAAACCCGATCTGTAAATACACAAATCCAATTTGTAAATTCAAAACGTGATTCGTAAATACACAGATCCAATCCGTAAAAACATCATTTAAAAATACACAAATCCAATTTGTAAAATCAAAATATGATTCGTAAATGCACAAAAATATTCATGATTTTTACTTTCGAATTCACAAATTGAGTGTTGAATTTATGAATTGTTTTGAAATTACAAATGAGATTTTGTAAATGTGAACTGTGCTATGCATCCGTGAATTTCATTTTGTAAATGTTATACTTTTGAGACTGATCTGGCTCCATACATACCTATTATTATTAAATCCAGAGAACCGATAATACTTTTCCAGAGCTGTATCGGTTAATTCTATCTCATAGAAGAAAGCACAGAAACATAAACGTTTTTTTTTCTTATTCGCTGATGTACACACAACTATTTACATTTTTTCTAAATTCTCCCCAAAGTATACTTTGATATTTATGTGTATTCTAGGGTTTGTGCAACATACATATATATTCATAGATGCCTGGTTAGCAGTTGTTTTATGAACTGCTATATATAACACTGTTATTATATAACCTTCATATATGTAAGAATATCTATATCTGAAACAGACTCAATGATTTTTCTAAACTAGCACAATGCCACAATTTGAAGGCATAGCTACATAGATATTATAGTGAATAAACAGATTTAATGTATGCATCTATGTATAAATATCTATGATGCACATAGAGCGTATGATGTACATTTTGACACAAACAGCCTCAGTTTCCACTGCATATATGGAAGAAGACTGGGGCCAAATGTCTTTAAACTAAGGGGGTGAATATTTTTTATTTAATTTTTTTGTATGCATAGACGCACAGTTTGACTGTATTGACAGCATTTTATATTGACTTTAATTTAAAAAATGCACTTAAAAACAAATCATTGCATAGACTGTATACTGTTAACTGTATAAATGAAATAGAAATTAATCCCTGTTATTCCATGATCTGTTGAAATGATTGATTCTGATTGGCTGTATGGTGTGCAGTAAAACCGTTTGGTGCACAGGTAGTTCCAATCAGTTTTGATCACAGTTCTAATTAATTATATGCGCTTCCTCAAAAGTTAGTAGTAACCATAGCAACTCAGTGACAGTTGCCGGAACCTTCATTCCTCTGTGTGATCTTGAGGACACTGACATGTGCTTCACTGGGGAGCTAATAGGGATCAACCAAACTAACGCATGTAACTATGAGCTATTAGATATGCCCGTGTCATTTACACATACACACATGATTTCTCTCTTGTACTCTCTCTGACTGTCAGTGACTGATTTTAAGCGAGGAGATTTAACATGTTGTAAAAAAATATATATTTTACAAAGCTTTAACTTGACTAAAGATTGGCAAGTGACTACGGAATAATATTTTATGACTGCTTCATGTTTGAGGGATCTTTGCTTCTGTGCCATATACTTCAAAATACTGAATACACAGCGATCCTTTGATAATCTCTTATTTAAAATTACAAAATGACATTATTTTGCCTAAAATAACAAGTGAAGAGTTCAGAGTCATAAGCCGCTAAACGCTACTTCCGCCAAAAATGAGAAAATGTCATTGAGTGAATGCTTTAGGCACGTAGAACATGTTCAACAAATAGATTTGCTTCTAATCATCTAAATTGCAGCGTCAGCGCATTCAGAAATAATAGTTTGTTACGCCACTTGCTTTTGACAGCAAAAGCCGATATATCCCGAGAACCAATCAGAAGGCGCGAATTGAATCAGATGCTTTCAATGTAGCAGCGTGCTGATAGTTTGAGTTTGATGAACTTGATGAGCCTGTCCAACTGTCAGTAAATGGCAAATAAAAGAGTTTAAATATGGTGAGAATGAATGAATGACAGCTTCTAAAATTGTCTGAGAGACATCCCCTTTTTGCCCAGTTAGCCTACCTTGTGTTTTATTTGCTAATTTAAGCTATTTTTTGAAAGATAAATACAATGTATAAAACTTTACACTATTTATATTACTTCATAATACCGATAAATCTGATAAGCTTTGTATGTTAATGGACAATCTTCCAAGCTTAGCTTGCAAAGTTTAAGTTGCTCTTCTTGCTTTAAATTTAAATCCCAATTATCAGAAATGACAATATATTAAGATTTGATTATTGCCAGTTCTAATCTTACTGATTAATGCACTTACTTGACAGATTTCATTTATTCATTTTCATTCATTTTTTCCCTGGTTTATCAGGGTTACTACAGCGAAATGAACCGCCACTTTCTTGACATATTTATGTATTTTAGATTGTTTGTGTAATGTGTTTTATTTCTTTCATTCACTTTTGTTTTTGGCTTAGTCCCTTTATTAATCTGGGGTCACCACAGCGGAATGAACCGCAACCCATCTCTGGGAAACTAATATGTTTAATGTTTGGTAAAATAATTTGTAATTGCATCTTTAGTGATTTTCAGCTAATAACACTGTCTTGTCCCTATAGGTGGATTAAGAGGTTTTTGCAAAAAAAAAAAAAAAAAAGCAGAAGTGGATTTAGCTGGTTTTGATGCAAAAGATAATGTACCTTGTTAAAAACCAAAGAATTGTCTACTGCGAAATTTTTGAAAAAAAAAAAAAAAAAAAAAGGTATTTTATAACCTTATCATCACATTTAATGATTTAATGAAGCTTCTAAACATAATTATAGGAGCCTGACAGAAAATGCTCATTTATAAGAAAAGAGGTCTGCTGGATTTACAGGGTTTTGCATATGAACTCTTCAAGTGTTATTTTTAGACATATTTACATTCATTTTAGGGAATATGATACCAATATTTAAACTTCAGAATATTAAAATTAATATGGAATAACCCTGATTTTCAATAAAAAAAAAAAAATCTACATGACAGTATTTTATTTGAAATATAGAGGAAATGTTATCAGACCTTTATAGGATAAAACTAATATTTAATTTTTATTCAAACCCTAAAAATCAATATTTAGGGTCTACATCTGCAAATAAATGCTTAAAATGATAATACATTTATTTGACATTTTGAAGTCATCAGGAGTTTATAAAACACAAATGAACATTTTACACAAAACACAGAACTATTAATATCAAATCAAGACAACCGATATTTTTCCAGAGTTGCATCAGTTAATTAATATTTATTTAAAATGACAAAATTTAACTAGTCAAGATCGGTCATTTTTATGCCTTTTGTCATTGGATTGACAGCTGTGGTCACTTTATGACTAAATGCACGGATCCATTATACAGATACACATGCTGTGTCTTTCTTAGCTATTTACATTTGCTTTAGACATAAATGACTGCGTTTTAGGACAGTCATATATATATTGATAAAAATCTGTGTATCTAAGCCCAAAAAGACACAAAAGAGAGTGCAAACCAGTATTTCCACACTGGTATTTACTTTTTTTTAAATTTTATTTTATTTTTACATTTTTCCGTGCATGAATGCTTTAAAGTAACCTGTAACTTTATTGACGAAGCAGATGATAATTAAACAATTATTCAAGTTCTGAACTGTGAGACACTGGGCAAGTGTTAATAATAAAATCTGCATACTGTATATCCCTGCAGTGTGTCCCATATGCACATACAGTCTCAAATACAGCAACTTCATTGGCTGTTATGACTGTTGATGTGGCCAAACTGTGAGTATTGGCAAAATCTCATTTTGAATGTTTTGTTTAAAGAAATTTGGTCCAGTCTTCATCCATAGCTGTATAAAATACACAAGCCTCTTGCACATGTTGAATTTTCGTTGTGTGCATGCGTCGAGCTTCTGTGTTCGCGCATGCTATCAGAGCTAATGTACATGTAAACAAAGAAAGTATACTTTGGGCTTATATAACAATGGCTGGCAGAATCATTTCAAGAACGTTTGTGAAGGATATTTTACAGTACGTGTTATTTATTTCCAGTTGTGTGTGTCTCTACGCATTTCTTGTGAGTACTCAATGGTGAGGGCATTACCGAGCGACTTTAATATTGTACAATAGTGAGAACTTTGACATGAAATGTGTTCGCATATATGTTTGTACTGCCATAATTTATTGCTTTTCGAAACTGTCGATGTTCCGTAAACAGAGTCAAATGAAAAATAATTTAAAAGGTAATTTAAAAGATGATGTATATGTATATTTGGTTATGGCATGTGCCATTAAGAATTTATTATAAAAATAAAATGTATTTTGTGTCAAATTCCTGTCTGCTTTTGTAAACGATGAGTAAAAATTGTTTGGTTAAGATACGTCACAGTTTATTTCAAGTACAATCACACAACTTTATATACACAATACACACATCTTATATACAAATAAACAATTCCTTTAATTCATTCTTCATGACAGCGACATTAAATCAAAGTGTAACATTGCTAGCATCACAGTCTAACATTGTAACTATATGCATTTACCCCCATGCTTGCTTTAGAAGTGCAACAATCCTCAACAACATGTGAGAAAGAAATTCAAGATTGAAGTCTTTATGTTCAAGAGAAATGCACTGAAGAATAGACAACAGGCTCAGTTGCTGGTTCCAGACATTCATTCCGTCGTCTTGAATTACACACCGCAACTTCTGTATACACCAACTGCAGAAATAAACAGTTAAAAAATGTATAATGTGCATTCATTACAAAACAGTTTTTTTCCCAAAAAGCATATGATCTAAAAGCACTTACTTCATTTTTTGGGTTCACTCTTGCTGAAACTAGTAAAGGAAATGAATACTGATTTAAAAAAAAAACTGTATTTAAGCATGAGAATAAGTAAATAATGCACTTTTAGACATGTTTAAAACAATTTTATATACATTTACTGTCTATAAAAGCACTAGGTTTTACCCATTTGTCAGCAATTTAAAATATAAGGTTTTTGTATGATCACCTAATACTTATAATACTTAACACTAATATATTCTAATAAGTACAGTAGAAATAAGTAGGTTGTTTATTTATATATAAATATATCTGATAACCTGAACAATATTTCACCCATTTTGACATTTTAGTTTCACTAATATTATTAGAAATTATAGGGAAGACATGTATGGGGGTCTTCTTTGACTCATAAATGAATTAAAATGCATATACATTTTTGGCAATTTTAGGTAAATAAGTTCAGCTGAACAGAAAATAAGAATAAAAAATACTTCAAAAACATCAATTGATCATGATTACAAAATTCACTAAAGCACTGCAAAAATCAGAGACATTTTTATCTGACAAACATCATTAACTAATGGGAGACAGAACAGTATTGTTTAAATGCTGTATCTGACATGTGAGACCTTACAGAACAGAAAGTGGGCGCTTACAGGAAGTGCGGGTGTGAGGTGGGACAGGTGGAGGGGATGAACGAAGCCGGGTCAAACACCAAACCAATCCCACAACAACAAGAAAACACGCCAAGGAACCGAGACACAGCAGAACTCTATTAGTGGCACTTCTGCTTTCTGAAAAGTCTCCAGTTGCTGGAAAGAAATAAAGACTTGAAAGGGAACTGAATCAGTCAGTCATGCTGCGTGAGAATTATGCAGGGGTTGATAATGTGCTTAAAATGATATTGAGGTGTAAGTACAGGTACAGAGTGAAAACTGTAATCAATTGAAAGTGCAAGCATCAAGTCGAAAGTATACTTGAATTTAAGTACAAAAAAAAACGCATTTAAGTTGTACTCATGTATGTAAAAAAGTCATACACAAAATTTCATCATACTGAATCATCCTCTAATGAAAAGTCTACTTATTATCATAATAAATATGTCAAACAGATATATATACAAAGGTTTGGTTAGAGGAAATTGTAAAAAATGAAAATAAATGTACATTTTTTTGTAATTTTATGCAAAACAAAATCTCTAAAATCAACATTTTGATCTTAAATTTGGATGAAATGACATTTAGTTTGCTAAATACAACAAAACATATGTCAAACATATAACTATAAATTGCTAATCCAAATAAACTGATCATTTAATTATTATTAATCAGTATTGTTAATTTATTTAAGAATGGTGCGTAAAAATTTAGAATAAAATAAACTTGACCAAAAGTACAAGCTGTCAGTTACAATTGTAATTAAGTATAAAACTCCTAAAATAATAAGTACAGTACACAAAGTTAAGTATTTTACACACCTAGAATAATGTCAAACAAACATGAACACACATATAGTTATTTACCTGCAGTCACATTGACATATGTCACATGACCATTGCTACTGGTGCCAGCAGGCCAGGTAATCACGCATTTGTAAGCTCCAGCGTCTGATTGGTTGACGTTGTGAATATGGACCTTCAGATGTGTGCTGTTGACTGCTGAGCTGTAATCGGACAACTCGATTCTTTCGGAGGAAGTGAGGGGAATAAATCCTTGGCTCTGCATTTCCTGGAAAGCCCATCCTCCAGTCCAGTTGGCTTGGCCACAGTGCCTCACTTCACAGCTGAAGTGCAGTTCTTTGCCCTCAGCCACAAACACAGAAGCACGACTTGCGCGAACAGATGAACACAGCTCACATTCTGAAATCAGAAGAAAAAAAAAAGAGTTTTAAGTTAATAAAAAGCACCTGAAATACACAAAACAGGGCCCTTAAAGTGATACTTGCAGGACAAAAATGAACTCTTTTGTATTTGTGTACTTAACAATCCTAAAAAAGTAAGCATACATCAAGTTGTTATTTAAGAGAATACATATAAAAAGTCTACATCTATGCTAATATCAATGTACTAGTAGCATACTTATATGTGTACTATTTAAACACTACCTAGGACTAAATTGGGACAGTTTTTAGTGGACTAATGTGTACTTTCATTATAACAGTACAGTAGTACACTGTACACAACTAAGTTTATCATTTGAACTATTAAGTGAACGTTTAGGCATTCATATATTTTTACTAGTTACTTCGAGTTAATAAAGTACACTTGAAGTATACTTCACTACTATACTATATACTAAACTACTAGTGCTTCTAGCGGAGGGCAAATTAACTTGTATGTAAAGATACTTAAAGTTTAGTATCTTTACATTTTTTATGAGTTTAGCTACTTGAATATTACCTAAAAAGAAATGCTTTTATGAAGTTTTATGTGTATAACCTTAACAACACAAGTAGGCTATATTATGTACAGTTCAGGTATGTTTTATTTTGTGACTATAATGCAAGTAGTTATGCATAATGTTTTAATTAATGAGACATTAAATACTTCCCTGAAGAACAATTACCCATGTAGTGACTGTTTTTTATGTAGATTTGTACAGTTTTATTGGTAAATTTAGCTTACAGTAGCAAAATCGTGGTATTTTTCATCTTGTTTTAACTACAACAATATAATTTTTTGGCTTTATTTAGAAAAACCATGATTAACTTTTGTAAGGTTGGATAATTTTTTTCAACAAAAACAGCAATTTTATCAGTTTTGAGGTATTATCAATGCATACTAATAAGGTGATCAATTCTAGGTTTGTTTTATTTTTGTACGTTAGCTTCTGGAAGCTATTTCACCTCAAAACCTACTAACACTGAAAAATTATTCTGTCAGTATAAATAACGCACTGTGTATTTTCACGTATATTTTTATTAAAATGAAATAGTACATAAGTTTACTGTCTTATTTTTAGTTTAAGTGTACTAGTAGCACGCGTTCCTTCCTTTTTAAGGGCAGAAATGACAGATTATCACAGACCGGAAACGATAACGTTTACCATGAACGATTTTAGCAAGTAAAAGTTATGCTGGCTACATTTGTTTGCATGTGCAGGTTTTTCTTAAACACGGTGAAAAGGCGAATGTTTCTCCTCTCAACACTGTCACTGCAGGGGCTCAAACATCTTATTGCAGAAAACATAACTTAATCTTTGGAAAATGTTAAAGTTTACACTTTTAAGATTAACGTAATTTAGATTTGTGAAGGTAAATTGCTGTTTCAAAGAAAGTGCCGCTGCAGCTTTTAGGTATGAAGGTGAGACGTTGCTTACCTTTTACTATACACAGAAATGCCAGAAATGTGAAGGACCACCTGTAAACTTTTTTCATCCTTTATAGTTTTTCCATACTCGACTGTCCCCGTTGCCACTGGATATACGGAGATTTCCGTCAAGTCTCCTTACACCAACAACAGGTAACTTAATTCACTTGGAAACTTTCTTCGAAACTCTTTCCCGCTTGGTAAACACCCAGTTTCTCTGCTCATTATCTGAAACACATCTGGCACCTTCAGTCGTGTTGTAAACCTGCACTTGAGGAAGGAAACACCACGGCTTTAGGGAAAGTTTGAACATATCCTTCCTGTTGGAGAAGGAAATCATGCTGACACGCTTTTTACACTGTTAGACAAGTGTAATATGAATAAGGAATATGTAGATTTATTTATTTATTTTATTTTATCTAAAAGCACGTAAAATTTCCTGAAAATGAAACAAATAAATATATGTTAAAACACTAAGATACAAAAACAAAATAGCTAGACAATAAATATATATTTATTGTGTTTTTGCAATTGTAATATTATGTATTTATAACTGTTCATGTAAAAAAAAACAAAAAACTTGTGCTTTAAACTAGGGTCTGTGGGCCAAAGCCTTAACCTTTGATTTGGACTGCCATCCCATCTGAGAAGAGAGGTAAAAAGGAGTTGGTTTCGAGATTGTTTCGAATTTAATGTAACCCTTTGTTTATTATTAAAAGCTAACTGAAATTAAGCATTTTAATTAAATTGCATAAATTAATCAGATTTTGTTTAAATGTAAATACTGTTACCCGACAATGCAGAGATTTTGGTCAGCAAATCATGCCCAAGGCAGATTCTGCTTGACAAGTGTATTTAGCATTGAACTCCACTGTGTTATAAATGTGATTGTTTGTTTTATTGCAATAAGTTATAATTTAAAAAGCTATACTGCATTGGTTAATATGATTATGTAAGGGTGATTATGATTATGATATAAATAAGTAATATTTTCTCTTTATTTTGAAGTATTCTGAAATAATTTATGAAATTACCCATGGCAACTTTAAGGTATTATAGTTTGGTAAATTTACCTTCGGCCTATCCTAACTCTAGTGTGAGATGAAAATTCAATTTGAATATTATTTATATACTTGTATTCCTGATAAGATTTTTTTTTGGCTATATAAACTTAATTTATATAATAAATAAAAAATATAGAAATTTAATTGGTGTCTTCTAAAAATCATAGTAGAAATGTGTAATATAGTTATTACAATGAAAAACATGATTTGTTGGATTTACAATTTTTTTAAGATAAGTTCACTCAAGAATAAAATTTAAATTTTACTTACTCTCAAGTGGTTTTAAGCTTTTATACATTTTTTTATTCTGTTAAAACTCTAAAGAATATTTTGATGAACTTGTAGGAAAACAAATAATATGAAAGTCAATGGATAGCAGTTTCCAGCTTTCTTATGATATACCAAATAGCTTATGTTGTGTTCAGTAGAAGAAGGAAAGACAAACAGTTTTGGAACAAGTAAAGAGTGATTAAATAATGACAGAATTTTCTGTTTTGGGTGAAGTACACTTTAAATTAGATCAAATATTGTTTTCTCAGTGTAGCCACATGGTGGAGCTACTGGTCAGGGAGTTTGAGGTCAGTCAGCTGGGAATTCTGGCCTTATAACGGAGGCATAAAGGGGCATGTGCAGGCAATTACACAGCTGCTGGAGATGAAAGCCAAGCTTAAACAGAATCTGCTGCTGCTGCTCTGTTACTTCAAGATGAATGACGTTCACACTGTCTTTGTGCACTTGATAAATCTGCTTGAAATCTCACAGAAAAGGAGTCAAATTCATAACCAGGAGCCAAATGTTAAAAAATTTGTATAGGACCATATAAGTGGGAACTTTATAGATTTTGAAAGGGACGGTTCACTCAAAATTATTTTGACGTTTAATCTATATAACATACAAATATATATTTTGATACTACTAGTCCTTATTATTATTATTATTATTATTATTATTATTATTATTATTATTATTATTATTATTGTTGTTGTTGTTGTTGTTATTATTATTATTGTTATTGTTATTATTACTATTTTTACTATTATTTAGATAACAGTATCTTTTCCTTGAGGGACAGCAGTTAGTTAAACTGAGTCAGCAGATGTTAATGGTTACCAGATGTGTGGACGTCAATGTAGGCTTACAGTCAATTAAAAATCCATACAGTACATATTAAACAGATATTAGTCCCTGTTTGCTAGTAACTAGCATGCATTGTTATAAATATACTACTGACTATTAATTAGGTATCAATAAATTTCCAATACAATCTCAAAACAATTAGAAACTTTCTGATTTAGTGACTAATCATATGAATTGATAATATCTCATTTGTACATTTTAAGATGATTTGCTCATCCTCCAATGGTGGTTGAGTTTAAGGGTGGGGTTTGGTGTCTTTTTTTTAAAAAATCGTACGTTTTCATAGCAATGAAATCATATTAATTTGTATGGATTAGCTGCTTTTCTGCCAGTCTGCAAACGTTATGTTTTCTCATGTGATTGAGCTGAAGATACACTCAAATATCTTACTAGTAACATTCCATAAAAACAATAGTGTCTAACAAACATGCAATAGTATATATTGAAGAACTAATAGTAATAGGTATGCTATAAAAATTGTGTCTATAAATAGATTAATGTTTCTATGAAATAAGAACTAGATGCAGTGCATGCGGAAAGTATTCATAGCGCTTAACTTTTTCCACATTTTTCTATGTTACAGCCTTATTCTAAAATGGATAAAATTCATTTATTTCCTCAAAATTCTACACAAAATACCCCATGATGACAACATGAAAAGAAGATTTTTTTTAATTGTTGCAAATTTATTAAAAATAAAAAATCGGGAAAATCACATGTACATCAGTATTTATAGCCTTTGCCGTCGAAATTGAGCACAGGTACATTCTGTTTCCACTGATCATGTTTCAGCAGCTTAATTGGAGTTCACCTGTGGTAAATTCAGTTAATTGGACATGAATTGAAAAGGCATACAACTGTCTATATAAGGTCCCAAGGTTGACAGTGCATGTCAAAGCTCAAACCAAGCATGAAGACAAAGGAATTGTCTGTAGACCTGCGAGACATGATTGTCTCAAGGCACAAAGCTGGGGAAGGTTACAGAAACATTTCTGCTGCTCTTAAAGTTCCAATGAGCACAGTGGCCTCCATAATCTGTAAGTGGAAGATGTTTGGAACCACCAGGACTCTTCCTAGAGCAAGCCGGCCATCTAAGCTAAGTAATCGAGGAAGAAGGGCCTTATTCAGGGAGGTGACAAATAACCTGATGTTCACTCTATCTGAGCTCCAGCAATCTTCTGTGGAGAGAGGAGAACTTTACAGAAGGACAACCATCTGTGCAGCAATTCACCAATCAGGCCTGTATGGTAGAGCGGCCATTTACATTTACATTTACATTTAGTCATTTAGCAGACGCTTTTATCCAAAGCGACTTACAAATGAGGACAAGGAAGCAATTTACACAACCAAGAGCAACAATGAATAAGTGCTATAGGCAAGTTTCAGGTCTGTAAAGTCTAAGAAGGGAAGTATTAGTAGTATTAGTATTTTTTTATTTTTTTTATTTTTTGGTACAGTTAGTGTGATATTCAGAGAGGCAATTGCAGATTAGGAAGTGTAGTGGAGACTAAATAGTTGGGTTTTTAGTCGTTTCTTGAAAGTAGCGAGTGACTCTGCTGTTCTGATGCAGTTAGGGAGTTCATTCCACCAACTGGGCAGATTGAGCGTGAGCGAAAGTGATTTCTTCCCTCTTTGTGATGGAACCACGAGGCGACGTTCATTCACAGAACGCAAGTTTCTGGAGGGCACATAGATCTGCAGAAGCGAGAGCAGATAAGAAGGAGCAAGGCCAGAAGTCACTTTGTAGGCAAACATCAGAGCTTTGAATTTGATGCGAGCAGCAACTGGCAGCCAGTGCAAACGAACTAGCAGCGGAGTGACATGTGCTTGTTTAGGTTCATTGAAGACCACTCGTGCTGCTGCATTCTGGAGCAGTTGAAGAGGCTTGATAGAGTTAGCTGGAAGCCCAGCTAGTAGAGAGTTGCAGTAATCCAGTTTGGAGAGAACAAGAGCTTGAACAAGGAGTTGAGCTGCATGTTCAGATAAGAAGGGTCGGATCTTTCTGATGTTATAGAGTGCGAATCTGCACGATCGAGCAGTTCTAGAGATGTGGTCAGAGAAGTTTAGTTGGTCATCAATCGTTACTCCAAGGCTTTTCACCATTTTGGATGCAGTAATGGTTGCCCCATCCATCTGGATTGAAAAGTTATGGTGTAGAGTCGAGTTGGCAGAAACTACAAGCATTTCCGTTTTTGCGAGGTTCAGCTGAAGATGATGATCTTTCATCCAGTGTGAAATATCCAACAGGCAGGCTGAGATGCGAGCTGGAACCGAGGGATCATCAGGATGAAAAGAGAGGTATAGCTGGGTATCATCAGCATAGCAGTGGTAGGAGAATCCATGTCTCTGGATGACTGGTCCTAGAGATGATGTGTAGATGGAGAAGAGAAGTGGCCCAAGAACAGAGCCGTGAGGTACCCCAGTGTTTAGATGCTGTAGGTTGGACACCTCTCCCCTCCAAGACACCCTGAATGACCTGTCAGTGAGGTAAGATCTGAACCATTGTATAACAGTGCCCGCAACGCCCAGTGACTCAAGCGTAGATAGCAGGATCTGGTGGTTGACAGTGTCAAAAGCAGCTGACAAGTCCAGCAAAATGAGGACTGATGATTTAGAGTCTGCTTTAGCCAGTCTGAGATCCTCCACGACCGAGAGCAGGGCTGTCTCAGTTGAGTGGCCTTTCTTAAAGCCGGATTGCTTGTTGTCCATGAGATTGTTTTGAGTAAGAAAGTCCAGGACTTGATTGAACACTACTTTCTCCAGAATCTTGGCCATGAATGGAAGCAGGGATACTGGTCTGTAGTTTTCAAGTAGCGTATGGTCCAGGTTGGGTTTCTTTAGCAGTGGGGTTACCCTAGCCTGCTTAAATGAAGTGGGTAATAAACCAGAGTCAAGAGATGTGTTAATTATGTGAGTCAGTGTTGGTATGACTGCAGGAGAGATGGCTTGCAAGAGATGAGAGGGAATGGGATCGAGTGGACAGGTGGTTGCATGGCTAGATAGCACGAGTTTGGACACCTCAGACTCAGAGAGCTGAGAAAAAGAGGTGAGTGTGTGTGGTGTTGGTGGTGTACCTTGCGTGTTTGTTGTAGGTGCAGCAAATTGAGCACTGATTTT